TCCAGATTACTATAATGCAGCATGGGATTGCGCTTAAGGATATCTATAACTTTGATGAGACTGGTTTTGCAATAGGCTTAGTAGCTACTGCTAAGGTAGTTATAAGAGCTGAGATGCTTAGTCAGCCCTTCCTTATCCAGCCAGGGAACCGTGAATGGGTTACATCTATAGAGTATATTAACTCTACTGGATGGGTGCTTCCACCATGCATTATCTTTAAGGGAAAGGTCCATATTGAGGGCTGGTATCAAGATACAGCCTTACCAGCAGACTGGCGGATTGAAATCAGTGATAATAGATGGACAACTAATCAGATTAGATTATGATGGCTTTAAAAAGTCTTTATTCCTGCTACTACCAGTCATACAACTAGTAGATATCAACTATTGATTCTTAATGGCCATAGGAGCCATCTAACACCCTAGTTTAATCAGATCTGTACTAAGAATAATATTATTCCAATCTACATGCCTGCACATTCATCACATCTCCTCCAGCCTTTAGATATTGGCTGTTTCTCTCCTCTTAAGCATGCATATGGCTGCTTGATTGAGGATAAGATGAAGCTTGGTTTCAACCATATTAATAAGTTCAACTTCCTTGAGGCCTATCCACAGGCTCGCACAGCAATCTTTTCAGCAGATAATATTAAAAGTAGCTTTTCTGCAACTGGATTAATACCACTGAATCCAGATCAGGTGCTCAGTCAGCTTAATATCCAGCTTAAAACCCCTACACCACCAGGCAGCCAATCAACTGATTCCATCCTGAAAACGCCTTATAATCTTAAGCAGCTGAAAAAGCAGGAAAGTATGCTTAAGAAGCTGTTTAGGGAGCGTACATATAGTCCTCCTACCCCTACTAAGGCTGCACTAGATCAGCTTATTAAGGGGTGTGAGATGGCAATGAATAATGCTATCCTTCTGGCAAAGGAAAATCATGATCTACGTGCCGCACATAAGAAGCAGGTTCAAAATAAGAAGCGATCTAGGAGGCAGATAGAAGCTGCAGAGGGATTCTCTATCCAGGAAGGTCAGGAATTTATTCAACAGAGGAATCAGGCTGATGAAGCTATCCAGGTAGTAGATGCAGAACAACACCCTCAACGGGCACCCCCACGCTGCAGTGACTGCCATATTCTAGGCCATAGGTGATTGCAATGTCCGCAGCGTAAGAAGAACTAGCTTTAGCAATAGAATCATATTTTAGGGAGTTGAAAATAGCTTCAAATTTCAGACTGGCGGATATTGCATGGTAGGGTGGCCGCTCGGTTACAATGGCCGCTCGCTTACCGATTACGTTAGGTGGCAGTTAAATCCAGTAGCGCAACTAGTAGGGATCACCATCCCTACATTCCATACCACAGTCCTACATATCTCCACGACCTTAGTAGTGTGATATCGATCAACATGTGTGATTTCAATTAAGTCTACAAGAGTGCGCAGAGGATATTAGTAGATGTCATCAGCATGTACATAACCATGTAGATTCTTACGTTCCTTCATAGCTTAGGTAGAATTATAAAAGGGGCCAGAATCCCTTGATATCAGCAGGACATGTACAGGGCGGCCTTTAGCCTACCCCCTACCCTTGCATGATTCGAAGGCTCTACGCCCCCTGCAATGAACAATTATCCCATCTAGTAGCATGTCTGGATCAGGCAATTATATGATGCTTAATTCCTGAGAAGGTTTAAAATCCCTACAAAGGATTCGATCTGAACCCTAGCAGCACCAAAAGATCATAGTCTTAGGACTTTGAGGACCCCACTAACAGGTTGATTTTAATAAATGCTTTATATCAACTATCCTTAACTCTATGGAAAATGCCTTAGATTAACTGCTTCAACCTCCTCAGGCTGATCTAGATACCTATAATAGTGATGATTTACCTAGGATATCTAGTTAGCTCTTCCCCATAGCTACATTATAGAGTGGATATCATTAACTATCTAAGCCTTCTGAAAAGTGACTAATAACAGGATTAAGTTGTCTAATTATGAAGGATAAGATAAATAGGGATAATTAAAATTATTTTAATGGATTTAAATTACTATTAATAAGCTTAATTTAGATTTCTATTCCTGACTTAATTATTATTCTTCTCTTATCAAAATAGACAATATTAAATCTATATCTTCTAGTATAGAGACTCCTTAAACCTAGTCTACCTATAATAGTAATAGCTTCAAGACTAACTAGAACTATCTTTAATAGTGGTTTGCTTAGGCAGCTCATAGTATGACTAACTAGAATGCTTAAAATAAACTAATTAAACTTAGACTGGTCGTGGGTTGGGTTTGGATGGATCCGCAGGGGGTTCAATCCAACCCACATGGGTTTTGGGTTGATCCACCACCTATCTAACCCACCCTCATATCCATGTGGGTTGGGTTGTGGATAACCATTCTACCCATATCATACACGTGATTTTAGACTATACTACTTTTGGTAGGCGGAAAGACCTAAGAATCTAGACTATACTACTTTTAGTAGGTAGAAAGATCTCTCTTTGAGAGAATATCATGAATATCTATTATTCTGCCAGTCACGTGCACCCAATGGGTTATCCATATCCATATGGGTTGGATGCCATCCACCCATATCTATGTGGGTTGGATCAGGGTCGACCCCCATCCAACCCAAAGTGCGGATTGGGTGGGTTGGATATGGATTTGCGGATTGGGTCAGCCAGTCTAATTAAACTATATGAACACCTAGTTAGACTTCTCCAGGCTAAGTATAATCATCCTTAGCTAGAAGGGGTTACTAGAGCTTTAACTATAGCTTCTAACCCCTATTTTCTTTCTTCTCTTCACTCTGAAGAATGCAAGCTATATTAAAAGGTCTCTAACCTTAAGCCTATCTCTATATATAATAGCAAGTACAGTAAGGATGCTACAGCGAAGTGGCTTAAGCAGGTTAATAATTACTTTTATAATAAATAAACTCTTACTTAAAAGGATGCTACTAATCTTAAAAAGGTTATAGTAGTTAAGTATTACCTTGTTAGCTAAGCTAAGGAGTGATAGGATGCTTATAAGTAGAATTGCGATTTGCTGAGTCGACGCCCTTTTCGGCTGCCCCCTCTTTTGGGTTTGGCGCCCGTCTCCGCGGCGCCGTATCCAGTATAGCGTCATCCTTTTACGGTTTAGTCTGCCCGTATCGGGCTTAGTTTCGGAGGCTAATCCCGAACGGTATCTGCCGTTCCCTACCGCCTGTGTCGCGGCGTCCTCCATCTATATAAAGTCGCGGTGCGTCGCTCAACGACGACGCCCTTTTTTCCCAACAGTTTCGTTTCCCCCGGAAGTTCAGGCAGCAACATATTCCTGGTCGGCTGACGTGTCCCCCTGTCAGCTGAAAACTCTGCATCTGCGACACAGCCCCCTTCTCCACTCGCGAAATTGGAAGGACCTGCCTGTTTCAGAGACTGGAGACGAATCAGCTTGGTACCTTGTCCTGCGCGAACCGACTGAGATTTGCTCCTCTACTCTATCCGGTGAAAGGATGCTTTCTCGTACTTCTGACGCCCTTGTTTTGTTACGGGGGTGGGAAAGGGCATCGCATACGGACTACATTGCCGTCATATCTTGAGCACCGTCCAGTCTGTATCTTTTCGCACTCTCCGCGCGGGTGACAGGAAAGAGATGAGAAACGGGGAAGGCGAAGTAAAAACTATCCCCGCCCATGCTCCGGGACCGGGTCCAGCAAGCCCCCAAAAATCCCGGCCGTCGCTTCGCGAATACAGGCTGCCTCCTGTCCAACCGGCCCTTCGCTGAGCATGCATGTTTACTGGCGAGTTGTGGGGCAGCGGATCAGCTGTCGGACGCATAGCCAACCGCAAAAATGCCTCATGGAAGGCAGGGGCCGAGCTGAGGCTCCTCGGTCGATTTTTTGGCCCTCATGGTTCGGGTAAGCTGCGAGTAGTGCGCTGTTGCTGGTCGAAAGTAGTTTTCACGGGGACGATCTTTGCCTCTCCGAATCATTTGTACGAGCATACCAACGACACGATGTCTCACGATTGAGTAACCAAGCACTCCTACGGTGACCACTGGGTTTTTGTCCATTTCGCCGAGGTGGCTCGACGATTCCCTCGACACGCTGCCCGACCATGACGAGCAGTTGATGGAGTCCACATGCCGTTCCACAGATGTACGATCCTTTGGGAGCGCCTCGTCTATAAAGACCAACCGACTCCTTTGGCTTTGTCCAGGCTAACCAGTCGATATCACATCTGACCTGTCCTCTTTGCTTCTCTTCCAAGACTGCCATAACTATTAAAACTCACCTTAACCGCGACCTATGGGGGCTTCTAGAGATATGCGGGTGAACCTAGATCAAATCGAGTTTTACTATGGCCCAAGTCGCCGGCAGCCTTCAAGCATATTGGCCTTTACCAGTGAAAAGCGACCACCTCCAGCCCAAGTTCCACAGTCTTTTCAGCATTCTTTTTCCACTGAGTCTGTCTTGACCCAAACACCGGCAACGGCGAATATACCAGACGCTTCCGCAACTTACACACGCGAGTGGTCATCCACTGGTATCGCAAAGCCATGGAATGTGTTTGACGTCGAGATCACCAATCTCTATGGCGGAGCTACGACTCGGCCGCAAATGATAACAGAAAACAAGTCCGCGGCGATAAGTGTTATACCCACAACTCTTGAAGCTCCACTGGACCTCACAAATCGCTCCCTATCATTGTCAGCACCGCCAGCAATTGAAGACTCCGCAACACCAACATTGCCAACGGCAAACGAGCTTGACCAAGACATTGCTTTGTCATGTAATATCCCCGATGCCATTGACGCAGCGACTCCTTGCCAGCCCATGTCGCCTGCAGCTCCATCTGACTCGGCCAGCAATCCGTCCGGCAGCCTTACAGTGTGCGGTGATCCCCAGCAAGAACCTTGTAAAATTATAACACAAGAGCTATCTTGCGATCTCGATGGGGGCAGACCAGATAGAGATCCATGTTCATCGACAAGCAATGCTCCACAGCAGACCAAAGTTTCCGAGACAGGCGAGGGCACGTCCGCTCCCTCATGTCAACCTTATCAGCCGAACTCACGCTGTAGTCCGGAATGCTCCGCTAGCCTGGCCACACCAAGTGTCAATAGACCAGAATCGTACCCTTCAATTACTGTGGTTGTACCAGCACCTCCATGGGTGCGAGAAAGTGTTACCAGGACAACCACAAGGGTCGCCGCGTTGTCCTGCAAGAAGCGGCTCCAATCCAGTCGCGACGCTGACGACCCCCAGGATCCTGAAGTATCAATTCCTGGCGGAACTCGACAGCGCCCGAAGACAAAACTTCCGGCGAAGTCTTTTCGTCAGTCACTGGGCGGTTTAGACCCCATTCCATGTGATTGTTCCCGTGCTATGCACGAGGTCCGCGGGAGAGCCATCCTCATAGTTGAGTCCAGTGGACAGAAACCAGCATATTTCCTCACATTCGTTCCTGATGCTAGTCCGATGCTGACTCAGACCCCTTCGGTCGATACTTCAGGAAAACAAAAGCCATACACTTCGGACGAGAACGCACTGTTGGTGCGACTGAAGGAAAGGGAGGGAATGCCGTGGGCAGAGATTGCTGCGCACTTCCCCAAACGAAGCGCATCGTCACTCCAAGTCCACTACTCGACCAAATTACGCCACAAGGCAAACACTCGAGCTAAAAGGCCACGAAGATGCCGATGAGAGGCACTAATCTTAACAGCGCCCAGACCAAAGCCAGTCCAGCTAAAAGAGACTAACGAGCGTGTCCAGCTCATTTGCCTTCAACCATAGACCATCCTTTCTTACGCTTGATCTTGAGTCACAGTCATGCTATTTTTCGATACCTGGCTTAACGGATCTGACGGCCAAGATAGAACCATTGCAGGGAAACTCCAGTTTCTGGGATTTTGCAGAGTGGACACATTCCAAGGAGCGATCTTTTACATCTTAATGCGAGAATGGTTTGCTTCTTTCTTTCGATAAAATGTATTATTTATGTGCATGGCTGCTCATAGGTATATCTGTTGAGGGGTTTCCATCCGCTCGATCATGGGTGTACATCGATAGTTGGCAGCAAGAGTCAAGATCTCATTCCGCCGCTCTCCCTGGACCGACCCTTCCGGCATATAGTCAATAAGGCTGAATACAGAAGTCCAGTACAATGAACTGTACAATTTTCTGATGAGTCGGAAACCAGGAGGCTTGTGGGGATAGAAGATTGATTGATTGATTGATTGTGGGCAGTCAAGAATCCATGCATTAGCGTCAAGCAAGCTCTCTATAGCTCTTCAATGGCAATACAAGCAGCCAAGAAAATCCTCAGGCCGGGACTCCTGGGTCGGTTCCGGTCAACTCAAATACTCATAGCGTAGACGAGTGATCATTGTCATACAGTAGCTAAGGAGGGTCAGGAAAGGCCCGACAAGGACGTAGACATAGACACTACTATCGGTACGCTGTCTGTGAAGTCACATCCGCGAAACAGTTGCCAAGTTGGTGCCTGGAGCCAAGACATAGTCATGTGATCCACTGGCGGACACCATAAAACACCCGCGGTTCCACCGCAAACAGATAAGGGCCACGCCTGTCTAGTCTCACACATCATGACCTGTGAAGGAGAACGGGTGCGACTTACGCAATGGAAGATCCCCAAAGCTCTCAGTTTTGTTGTGGAAGATTCGACCTTTTTCCAAAAATGGGATCGATTACCTTCACCAAATGAAGTGCAGGCACGTGCTAGGACACAGCATCAGCATCTCGCTGGAGGGTATCCAAATCAAAACAAAGTTCATTCGGTGGCGGCACCTTGTGTCCGACCGCCACCTGTCATTTTCGAAGAAATGGGCCTGTTCGTTAAGTGGGGAAGCTCTGTTCAAATATCCGAAGCTCAGTGCCTATTTGCCGTCCATCAATTCCTCAAAGGCGATGTTCCTGTGCCTGAAGTGTATGGTTGGCGCACCGAGGGTAATGAGGCCTACATTTACATGGAGTATGTAAATGGGCAATCGCTTGAGCAAGCATGGCCCAGCATGGGATATGAGGACAAAGCTGGCATCTGTCGCGAACTCAGGACAATCTTTCAGCGTCTACGCCAAGTCGAACAGGACCCAGAGGACCCGTTTGTAGGTGCGAATATCCCGCGTACCCTTTGGATAATGATTGCCGTCAGCTAACCTTTTTCTTCGTAGGCAACATTACGAAGGGACCTCTTTACGACAGAGCATTTCATGTGAACTATATGCATGAAGCAGGCCCTTTCGCTACAGTTCACGACTTTCACGATTGGTTTACCTTTCTTCACCGAAGACCCATGCCAGATCCGTACTCAGTTCCAGTGGAACCATTCCGCCATGACCTGCCAGACGACTGTGCAATCAAGTTCACTCATGGCGACCTGCATCGCAGTAACATCATCGTCACACCCACACGCCCATACCGTATCCTGGCGGTTGTTGACTGGGAGCAATCCGGTTGGCTGCCTGAATACTGGGAGTCTCGAAAGGCGCAATATACCGCTGATAGAGCTGAGGAATGGTCCCTCACCTACCTGCCCATGATTATGGAGCAATTTTCCTGTACTTGGGACCCATGGGACTACTACACGTCCGCAATGGGATGTTGAGTCGTTACGCACTGCTAGTTGGATGTCCTCTTAACGGCTGGTTGCCACTGATAATTAGTTAAGCATATTTTTATCCTCCGTGGAAAATATCGAAGATCACTAATATCCGTTAGATCGTTTAATCGAATTGATTTGTTACTTCATATAGTAGCCTTCCAGATATGGAATACGCAAGCCCCACCAAGTCCTTCTTTCAACGATTGTTATCAGCACCATGCAAAGGATCCATGTAAAGCGGAATCGCAATGCGACACCATGAAAGGAGATGCTTTGCTGACTATCCAGATATCACAGCAGTCTCGGAGCGCTTTGAACAACCGAACCGGCGCTACTCGCAACCAGGCCTTCTGCAATAAGTTTCTGGGTATAGTCTCGCATCCAATCTTGGCAGTTGGGTGCCTAAAACAACTATCAGTATGCATGGCTGTTCCAGCGGTGAGGCCGGCTTACCGACGGATCAAAAGGATTGGCGCTGCGTCCCGGAGGCGGCACAGTTGTAGCAACTGACTCCAGTCGATCACGAGCAATTGTATCAGCGGATTGCTGTCCGGTGCCAACAGTATCTGTTATATACTGGGAATTGACCTGGGCAAGTGGAATGAGCTGGTGCTTCCTTTGTGTGAGATTGAAGTCGTAGTTGCGCTTGAACTCAAGGAAGAAGCCCGTGGCAGTGGTTCCGGTCACATGAATAAGCTTTCCCACCTTGCCTGCATCACCAGTAGGGATGAAGACAGCATAGTGAGCTGGCCTGGCGCCATTAGAGAATATCGCCAAGTGAATGGTGCGAGACATCGAGTTTGTAGGGCAACACAGGTGGAAAGCCGGTATAGATCGAAGAATGATAGATATTGAAAGGCTTGGACTTTCGGATACCAATGAAGATTGCTAGCGGGTGAGAATCTCGTTTATATATCCGTTCTATGTATGGGAGATATAGAACGTCCTGGGTTATAGACGCCCGCACTATCCCTGGCGCATAATGTTGAAGCCTCAGGGACCGCGCCTATTCGCCATCACCTACTCGGCGACGTCAAATGAAACATCCATCGCGGCACGCAGCACGATAGTCTTGAACCAATGGCCAAGATCCTTAGCTGCAACCGCACAATCTAGAGGATTAAAAACTCTGTGGGCGCTTATCCACAGGTCTCTTCACCAAAGTACGTATTGCGCGCTGCATTCCAGTTATTGCCAACGGCGACGTCCTCATGGGAACGAGACCGCAAAGAGCTACCGAGAGCTGAAGACAAAGCCATACACGATTGGAAATAGGTATAAGAAAATCGTAGCGAGGTATTGCTCAGCATATAATGCCATGAATGGGTGTGAACTTCCCGCCAATTTAGTCCCCTTGCATACATCATCATTCGCGCTCGCTGGCAAGTGTTCAGGCCGACGAGAGCGAATCAAATCCGTGGTGGTTTCGTTTCAGTGCCTAGGTTTTATGAACCATCGACCATCTATAGCATTAAATGAAGAGCTGCTTTTCATTTCAATATCTAGCACAGCCAAGTTTTTCCAGCTATTGTGATAAGCAGTGTGATTTTAAAAGATTTTAGCCAACTCTCGAGGCGGTGAATAAGGTACCGCTCAGAAATAAAAACGGGTCCAGGCGAAGGCAACTTAAGATGCTCCACCCCTGCGAGCCTGGATTCCAAAAGAACCTGGCAGAAATCACGTGATGGGTCACTCTTTTACACGAGAATTGCGACGCAAACTTAACCAAGCAGCATCACCGACAACCACCGGGTTTTAAATGGCTTTTATGCTCTTGTCGCAGACACTGCAGCGATTCCTGTCAGTATGTTATAGTCTCAAGGACTGGATGGAGATTACATTGATTTATCCTTTGTCACGCCTGATCCACTGGCCCACTTGTCATGATATTGATGTGGTATAAGTCAAACGTCCCTTTCTATCGCAAGAGCTTCCTGACCAACTTTTAATAGGGACCTCAATATGATTACGAAGCAAGTGAAACTGGACACAGAAAGGTTAAAACCATTAGCAGAGATGCTTGAGGACAATTTATCTCTGGTGGGCTAACTGGGATTGTGGAACTCCTTGGTGATGGTACCATCATTAAATTGCTGTTTCCTGATGCTGAAATGAAAAACCACATCCTTGATATTGCTAAAGAAGCTAGTATCTATCATCGCGTTGGCCCACATGAAAGGCTGGTATGGATATTGGGTCACTCCAGGGATGGCCTTATTCTTAAGTACATGAAAAACAGTGATCTCAAAATATATATTTAAAATCAAAGCTCAATTCCGATGAGCCTGAAGTTGAAGTGGGCATACTAAATTGCGGAAGCCGTCTCTCTCCTGCATAGTAACAGCATAATCCACTGCGACATCAAACCGCGAAACTTCCTCTTGGACGCGGCTCTCAATATCAAAATTATTAACTTCTCTGGCTCTTTGCTAGATGGATCTAAACCGGCCTCTAGTAAGGGAACTTGATTCTATCTCCCGCGACATTAGAGAGACCTGCCTACCGTGGCTATAGATCTGTTTGCACTTGGGTCGACTCTTTATGAGGTTTTTCAAGAAACCAGCCCCTACGAGGAGATCCCTAGCGATCAAGTGGAAGTACTATTTAAGAGAAAGGAGTTCCCTAATATTTCTGCTATTCCATGCGGAAAGATCATCAAGCAGTGTTGGTTGTCCCAAGTCAATTCAGCTGAACATGTGCAGGCTTTCATCCGAGATATAATTCGCAGCAAGCTTAACACCGACTGTAGCCCTCATCTTGATGGTTTGGACATTGCTCAGGGTATATTAATTAACCAAGTGGGGTATCCTTCGGATTGGGGCAGTTGATGCCAGTTTGTCTTGCTTCAAGGCATTAATTGAAAGTCCTGGTCGTCGTGTCGCATGATGTTGGACAGCCATAATAATGCTTAGTGGACACAAGATATTCACACATCCTAGAAGCTGTCAGCTATTGGTGTTTTGCTCCTTTTTAATGGGACACAAACCTTGATTACACTATTTCGTCACTAGATAGAAGGGTGATAAAGAATGAAGCCGATGTCGGCGCAGATATTAGGGGCCACGGCTGGTTGAGATAGCCATCATTTATACTAAAGCACCTGTCGTCTGGGATAGGCGTCCTAAAGGGGGTGTTACTGCCTGGTAAGATGCCAACGATATGCCAGCAAAATATTTGGAGCCTCATTCCCTAAAGCTAACAAGAGTGTCCATTACTGGCCCAAAACGATCAGCCTTGGAACTGGTCTAAGCCTGGAATCAGTGTGAAGCTGCACGCATTAGCGCCAGGCTGTTTCATGGATACCACAGGAAAACTGCAGTACGTACCCGCTGATTCGATCGCTGCACCAAGTTTGATTGCGGCGGGGGAAAAGTGAGTGTGCGCAATCCAGACCAATCATATTATGATTACGAGAGAACTGGCCATAAGCCTGGCAGTAAACAACCCCCCTTGCGCGTCACAAACGAGGGGAAGCTGCGGTCAGCACGCTTAGAAGGCTGCGATTGGATGCCTTAAAGTTGGGTGAACTTTTGGAATGTCCCAGGTAAGGACCTATTTATAGTCGTCCTGATTTACAAAAGCCAATGATTTCCGATTAGAAGTTAGGGAGTAGTTCTTGTTCTTGTTCTGCTCTCTCTGTTTATCCCTAATAGATAAAATGGAACTCCATCATACCAATGAGAACAAAGATCAGATCTTCAAACCACTATCATTGCCGGTCGCTTGGGCGACTTTGTTCGCGAACTCACCACAATGATTAAGACAGTGCAGTTCGGACGGCTCCAGCTTACAGGCGATGGATATAATGCCATGGAAACTGTAAGTCGCGAGCTTGCAAGGCTTTCAAAACATATGGCTGACAAAGTGAAGGCATTGGGGAAGAGATGGATATCTGCTGTTATTACAGAAGGGCAAAAGCTGCTATCCTGTGCGGAATCTACTAAGGCAGAATTAATGAAGAGCCAGAAACCCAAATGTCAGGTTGTCTTTATCAGAAATATATAGCTGTTCTTTAACCCCCTGGAGGTATTGAAACTAGATTCTCCAGCAGTCTAAAAATGAAAGCAACTGACCCGCGAGCGCTGTGAAAGACTGAGAAGTCTTGCCCTGAATAAAATGATTTTGTGGGCAGCAGCATTTGCTCCCAGTGTTTAGGATTCTAATGTACTTTAGAAAAGCATGTTTAACTTTGTTATTAAATTCCTGGAGCCTGGGAATTCTATACAGTGGCCTGCTTACATCTGGGAAATTTTAGATACATTGGCTCTGGAACAACCTCTTTGCCACTCATCTGATTTCAAAGAGTTTTTGACTGGTCAGTGCAGTGACCCTTGTCTAAATGACTGGCAGCTAATGGAGTCTAGATGTGCACTAGAGTGTTGGGATGGATCAAAACATCACTCATTCAAGTTCTTAGGAAGCGCAGACGCTGCAATGAGATGTTCCTGGTGTCGACGGTAAGCAATCCTATGAATATCCTCCAAACTGACGCTGATGATTAAATAGAAGGAGCTCAGGAAGTCATTGAGTGAGCTTTTCTTGTCCCACATTCTAAGTTAGACAAACTCTTAAAGCTCCATCCTTAATCCGCAGCTTGTCATAGTATTATTCTCACTATTCCCATCGCGGACTGAGTAGTAACAGTTCTTATTTCTATACCGCGCGAAGATGCTATCTAATTTGGTTGGGAGTCATCATTACCAGTGATTTTCAACTCAAACCCTCAACATGCTTTCGTCTAATCATCATCAACTTGACTAACATTGCCTTAATTTGGTGATTGATTGGTACGACTCCCATCCATATCCCAGTTTTTCGAAGTGTTTCCCACTTGACCACGCCTGTCGAACCGTCTTTGACCCTTATACAGTCGAAGTATTTGGAGGATTTCGGTGGGCGAAATATAATTAAACGCTCTGTTGGCCACCCATCAAAGAACTGTAGGGTGTAAGAGACCTAGCTACTATCATATTCCATTTTAGACTCGTCAAAGTCATTTCCGAACTAAGTGATAAAAGAACATTAGCTCGCCACCTGATTTAGAGCAGTATTAATGAGAACGAATGTATTTGACAGCTTCCGCAGCGAGTTTCACCTTGTCGTTCGCGATTTCTTCAGATATTGGCACATATTTGGCTGCCATAGCCAGCTGATGTGGACCCTTGGTTCAGCATATAGTGTGAGTTGGTCTATATGGATAAAACAATATAGATCCACATACTACAGTACAGACTCACTTGAGCACAGTCAATAATCACTCTAGCGTGCCTTCATGTATTGTAGAGAGGTGGTTCGGAAATGAGACAACAGTTCCTGGCGGGACGACGACCGATACGAAAAAAGATTATAGTTGGCGGACTGGAGGCTTGTAAAAGGTGATGGGAGAGTTATCTTATTTTTGCGCTTTTGTTCTGGCGGTGGTTCCTTCCACGTTGGGTCATCGAACGGGTGAGGCTGGTGGGGAGTAAGTGAGTGTCTTCGGAATCATGTGACTTGGCGGGGTGTCCAAATGACGCCCAACCTCGAGTCTGATGTGTTTGTCACGTGAAAATTGCACGGAGGGAATCCGAACTACCGACTTCTCTTTTAGCAAGGCAAAACGTGACTTGGGTGATTTTTCGTATGTACCTTACTTTTTAACGGCACCGAAATGGTGTTGGAATGCCTTCCAATGATATGCTCTCACACACGTAGCTGCTATTACGGCTATATCATCAAAAGCTGTAAATCAGGTAAACTTCTAATCTCACCTAAGTTCAGACAACCAATCATAAGCTAAGATAGGCATGTACGCCACCCCTCGATCACCCATTGGTCTCCGAAATCAAAGAATATAGTATAGTATGTAGGCTCAATTTAAAGCATATGAGAGCAAAGATATCAGTGGCGTGCGGGTAAAAGTGTTCACAAGTACCATGCATATGCCAAGCTATTTGAGGATAGGATAATCGTAGAGATCCAACCTGTTTGAGGCGACCCGTTGCGCAGGTCGCGGCACAGTTCAGAGCTTGGTTTAATCGAGACATTGATCATGCATCCTGCGGAACATCTGGACGGAATTGCGAGAGCCGAAGCGACATACCGCGCTGAAAGGAATAAATATCCCGCATAATGGTTGACTAAACGAAAGACATATAAGGAGGCAAGTTTCCCTCAGGACTCCCTCAACCTCGAACATTGTTGATACAGACAGACCGTCAACCATCATAACTACTTTCCCCAAGCCAAACCAATCTTATTGCCAACCAATTCCCCAGCATGGCAATCTTCCAAAAGGCAATCACTGCACTGCCGTCTCCATGTCTGCAGGTCATGACGCCTCCTGGCAGCCCACCTCAGGAGTCGTCCTCACAGAGCACGGATAAGGATGACCTCAAGCAACTTTTTGTCAATGCTATCCGACAGGTGTTGTCGGAGATGCCTGTTGTGCCTAGCTCGTCGCCTAAGACATCCGAGCTCACCACTGCCAGCCTGCTTATGGATCTTCTGGAGGTCTTTCAGTCCACTCCATCTTCCGCTGCTACTACCGGGCACTCGCCATCAGCGCCTATTGGTATCGAGAAGGACAACCATCTTCAACTGCCTCTGGACAGTAAGGGCAGGACACCCCCTAACAGCCCCTGCATCACACCGTTGGAGACTGTCGCAAGAATAGGCCAACTGAAAGAGTCCACTGGCCTCCTTGTTCCTTCTACCGATGACCCGAGTGCATATTTGATCTATGCAGATGAGTCACAAGATACTGCAAGGAACCGCGAGGTCTCTGGAAATCCGAAATTATCAGTCACTGGCAACAACGTTGATGTTGCGAGTTCGCCAGATGTTGGACCACTGAAAGATGGCCAATCGACGCTGAGCGCGGTTGATATAACTGTCGCAGATGGAGAACGGCTGGTGGCAGGCGATTGGCTGTCAAATGTGGAGAAGAGAGAAACTCGTGGAGTGTAAGCGGTGCCATTGATTTGCTGAACACTGAACACATCGCTAATCTCTTGTCTTAGCTGCGACATAAAGAATGACTAATATAAGTGCCCCTCAGGACCCTTTGGCACCTCAACGCCTTAGTTTAATGCAAATGAGCTTGAGAGCCTGTTAGGGAACGCTGCCAAAACGAGAAACCAGGCTGACTCTTCAGACACGGCAGATGGTCTTGACCTTTGTGAGGCTCGTGATGTGGAATCTGAAGATCTTAGGGGTGACCATCAGGGTATTTCCTATCTAGAAGACTCCCATGTTCCCTCGGAGCCTGTTACAATGGACTAGTTGAAAGATCTTTTCCAAGCTATGCTTGATTGCAAAAGTCAAACAGCTTCCGGTGGCGCGGAAAATGGTCCTGCTGGACCTGAGAAGAAGGCAGAGAACAATCACAATAGCAATGACAAAAGGATTCTGGCCTCCAGGATGGAATACAAGACCATTAACAAAGCATATGTCCAGCACTGTCTGTATTCCACATCTGCTAATTATAAGCGCAGCTGGGATTCAAAGGCATATAAGTATAAGATTGTCGAATCCCCTCCCCCACAGGATGTGAGCAAATTAGATGAATTCATATTCGTCGTCCATAAGCGTATCCATAAGTACGGCTGATCGTTGCAGCTCTTTAACTGTCTGACATGTGTCCAGAAAAATAAACACACAATGTCATCATCTACATGAATATTAAGTCACCCTGCCTACGAGACATCTTGAGATGCATCCTGAAAGACATTAGAACAGCAGGACTTGAAGCCGACAAACCTACAGTATGGCTACTCATGCTTTATGCAGATGCAGGCTTTCTTGCTAATAGCAGCATAGGTGGAGTGAAACTTATTGTTCCATTTCCTTCCAGAGTTGAAAAGCTTCGGCACCAGCTCTGACAATGATACCACGGAAGAGGATGGCATGCGATACCTGAGTCTACTAATTAAGCACCTAGAAGAAGCATATGAGTTAATAACCAGCTAAATGAACTTGCTTCTAGCTCACAGGAAGATAACATACAACTTATTATAGGTGTTCTTCAAACTGGGCGCACTGCTGTACATAACCTGCCCTTCTATAGGTCTGCCCTGGTGCGTGCATTACAGCTGCGGTAAAGAGATAAAGACAGTCCGGAAGGGTGTTTGTTTTGAGATTCAGTCCCAGTATTTTGATTATGACAGAGAAGTGTTCAGTGAATCTACTAAGATTTTACAGATTAAAATGTTCACTAGAGCATGCAGAATTAAAAATCTCCTGGCATATCCATTGGCATTCCACCCTGATCTGGAAATCTGGTCGTGCCTAGTATTAGCTGGTTGAAAGTTCATATTGCTCATTGGCTGTTACCATCGCTAATATAAAGGAAATATATTCATCTAATATAAGGATCAACTAATGAAGGTCCATGTCAGTAGCAGGATCATGGTTAATGCTCAGCAATTCCGGAAGTGGAATCCCAACTATGCAAGACTAATGATAAAAAAGCCCCAGACCAATATATTTAGCCAAATTTTAGATCATAAAATTATTAACTATGTCCAGAGTAATGGTATGGATCCTGGTGAGTTAAAGGAGGAAGACCTAGCAATCTGCAGTCTAATAATTCTCAGCTTCTCCCTGAATGAGAAGATTTGGGGTAAGTTAATGCTTAACAACCAGAACTCAGTTAGCTAATGTCACTAGGAGAGTTTGCTGTAGAAAAGGTGGCTGTAATCTAATTCTCTAATGCACCCTTTGACATGTTAGCAATCCTAGAGGATAAAAAGAAGGTCATCAAGTCTCTTACTGAAAGTCAGGTCCGCGCAATGACTGAGGGAAAATTCAATGACATCATTAAAGGAAAGGGGCAAGGGTTATTATACTCCTGTAGTATGTATCTAAAACCTCCCATAATAACCAAAAGTTAACTGTTATGGGAAGCGGTCCTCCAGGTGTAGGGAAGACTTTGATAGCAGAAGCCATCTTAGAATGACTTCAACAACTACTCTACTTAGTAAATATGAGCCTGACATCCTCTCAGCCAAATAGAAGCTGATAAATATAGATTTCCACTAGAGATCTTAGCACTCAAGCTGAGCAGCTTGAAGTCTAGCTAACACACACCTTCTGTGTTGCCAGCAACTGGAAGGCTATGCTCCTCTTGGATGAAGCAGATGTTTACCTGTAGCAACAGGATAGCCTGCACTTAGAATGCAACCACCTTATTGCCACATTTTTGCGCACACTTGAGTATTATCCTGGTATCTTTTTCCTCACGACGAATATGCTCCAGGACTTCGATGCAGCCATCCTTAACTGGATCCAGTTAAAGTTGTAGTATCATGATCTGGACTTATTAGCCCAACAAGCCATCTTCAGACACTTTTCTGCTAAGACAGGAGCGGAAATTTTGGAAGATAAGATATGCAACTTTGCTAAGGTCAGCCTAAATGGTTAGCAGGTGAGAGATTCACTCCATCCTAAGATATAGGCGTAATACTGATATAATATCTAAAAGATCAAAAATATTATCAAGCTTGCACACAACATCGCCATGTCTAAGGGGGTTCCACTGCGTGCGGATCACATTTAGTCAGCCCTTAGAGCCAACAGGTATACTATACCCACTCCTGGCTCTAAGATTAACAACAGTCTCTATGACTACTAGGCACAGTGTAAGGGAACATAAAATGGACTTTACTACTATTTTAATTTATCTCCTATTTTCTAATAAATATATCTTTTTATTTAATATTTCACACTCTTTAAGGGCAGCCTAGAATACAGCAGTGTAGTTACTAGGACTTAATCTGAATTATCATGAGTCAGCTCCTATCAGACCAGGCACAGAGCAGGCACATCAATCAGCCCTGATGTTAGAGACTTTTCACAGTTGCTATCTTTAATCATAGAAGTAGCCTTCAGGTAATGGATGATAGTTCCTCATAGACAAGACATTGCGAGCCTGTTGTTGAACCTTAGTAGCGGAGATCAGGTGTTCCTTAAAGACAACATTCAAAGCATTTTGTAGTACTTCGTAGCAGAGAGTTTCTCAGAAGCCCTCATAGAGGGCCATCCTTATTTGAATTATGGCTTCAAAGCCCCTGATTCACTTTCCTTTCACCCCCCTAGTTCAGCTAGTACCTGTCTGGTCTCACCTCTAGACTTGATGACTCATAAGCTTAGCCAATATTGGCACTAATATGTGTATCACATACATTGACCTAAGAGCTTCTTAATGCTCTATCTCACTGTTCTGACTAAAGGTTCCTACATTTGGCAACAATACACCCGAAACACACTACTTGTGGGAGGACTGTCAGTTAGACAAGGGCAACCTACCATACGGTTTGCAGGCACCTGCAGCTAGCAGAGTAACATGCATTACAGTTGTTTTCTTCTCTAGTTGTGCCGGAAGATATTTCTTGATGGTCTGGTCATCGCCCGCTGGGCAGTGAGCAAGTTTAGAGATTCACAGAGACTTTCCCATTGAAGACTGAGTTATCATGTGACTGCTAATCTGGAAGGATGCCTTAGGCCTTGCAGAAGTTTCAAACAGACGACGGACTCCGTTCCAACATTTGTCAAAACACCAGATGAAGCGGAAATTGATCTCTCAGAAGACCACCCATGTAATCCGCGCCGTTCGCGTCCCGGTCAGTTCTATATCGACTGTATAGACTAAACCACCGCTACCATCCTCACCACTATCGAGTATAAACCATCCCCAAACAAGCTCAACGATGGACCCGCGTTATGGCGACGTGGCTTTTGAGTCAAATGTTGAAACCCCTGCCCGAAGGATTATGTGGGAGATTTCCGGCCGGATAATATTGCGGAATTCGAATTGGAGCCTGCTTTAATCGTTGACCTCCGTTCGCTTCGGACTAGGTCATCGGTCGGGGAGGAGAGCGCTTAACCGACACCAGGACATCGCTGTGCAGTATTCAAGCGCAGGGCTCGAAGCGATTGCATGTGGCCTGCTTCCATATCTCAGTAGGCTTAGAGACACAAATGCGCTTTCTGTTCCAGCCACTAGGAATGCCTAGCGAAGCGCCAGATATTTAGATTGGAACCGTGGGCGCTTCGGACTCGCTCCCACTTGGGTCAATTCCGGTCCATACTGTGCCGCTCCGCGCTCTGATGTACCCTGTGTCTGGCCACTTAATGGTCTGAACACTTCGGCGTCTGAACACCTTGGTGTCTAAACACTTTAGTGTCTGGACTCTCCCTGTGTCTGGGCACTTTATTGTCTGGACACTTCGGCGTCTGAACACCACTGGAGTCCAAACGCTTTAGTGTCCGGACTCGCCTAGTGTCTGGACACTTTAACGTCTGGACACTTCAGCGTCTAAACACCAATGGGGTCTAAACACTTTGGTGTCTGGACTCTCCTGGTGTCTGTCTGGACACTCTATTATCTAGTCACCTCGGCATCTGAACAATTAGTCTGCACATTTTGGCGTCATGGTATGGTAAACTATTGATATGTTAAAATGTTATCCACTGGCCTTGCTCTATCACTGGCATGCGTATGCTTCGGACCAGCAAGCACTAGCTTCAGACCATGACCTGCTGCCCAGAGTCCTGCTAGACCCCTTACAACTATCTTGTTGCATTCAAAAGGGCAAAGCATTAGAGGCTGACCAGTAGTGCTTAAGGACCAGAGAATGTTCATATAATCTAATATTACCTGAGCGCTAATATTCTTAAGGCGACAATACTAAAAAGATCAACCGCTTGGTCAATTGACATGATGAATATTTTTCTGAAGAACATTGAAACTCAGGGGCGCAGGGAAGATTATAAGATATTCAGCAAGTTAATATTATTGAGCGCTAATATTATGAATGTGGTGATATTAGAAGGATTTAAAAGACACACAAGTGAGAATATTATCCTGTTGGTAACTTTAGAAAATGTTAAATATTATCACAACCATAATATTATGGCACGGTTAATATTAGGAGAAGTTAATTTTATCCTACCCATAATATTATCGCGCAAAGTAATATTGGATGATGTTGATATTTCCAGCAGATAATATTATGAGTACAATAATATTATCCCCATTCGGTGTTATCGCGGGTTTAAGAGTCAGAAGTGAACTTCCTGTGTTTTTTGAACCAACCACTCTTCTCCGTGGGCTATCGGGGCCTGACCTATCAGAGGACTGGTGGTCATCCTCTCTGAATATATGTTAGCCGCCATTGAAGGGAAAATCGTGGTCTTCCGCGCTAATATATGCAGCTTTTGTCTTTTGCGCAAATGCAGAATTTGTGCATTTTATTCCAGTATAAATCATAGGTGCCTCGTTATAGATACAAATATAGAGAGAAGGCATTGAAACCATGCTTGATTCTAAGATGGGCACAAGTCATCCAAAACTGTCAGAGAAGCCGAGTCCAAGCAGGAGAAAATCAATTCGCCAGAAGTAAGACCGCCGCAAAACCAGTCTGATGAAAAAGTCTTTCAAATATAGCAAGATGTGCGGCGCAGATATCTATTTAGGCATATGCATAAGGGACACTGGTCAAGTGTATATCTTTTCTGCTGATGCTTCAGGATTCTGGGCATTTGTTGGATCTAAATTGGTATACTCCCACCATATGCATATCCATCCAAAGGCTAATTTGTTTAGAACTGCTATTATCCACCTCCAAGCCAAGTTACTGACAGGGACTTCAGTAACTCAGGAGACCACGAGGTGACCGTGGCTCAGCAGAGGACTGAACCAAAGGGCTTTGACTTGCATGATGCACCCTGCGGAGACACAGCTCTATAACGTTGAACCGCTAGTGTCAACTGCCCGAGAGTGACTGGGTCATCTGTAGAACTTGCGTGGCACAAATCAATGTATGTACGTATGTATGTATAGAATTTATTAAGGCTGCAAGAATAACCCGTGCGTTGCTCTCGGGTGTTTGCCATTTATATGTGCGAGGACGAAGTGCCCGTTTCATATCCATTCCTTGACGGACACCGCCAAAAGGCTGAGTCATCATCATGATGCCAGGATGCATAACTATTTGACTCATTGCTTGATCGCACGGATGCCCATTCCTACAAAAGTTTAGCGTGGCGCCATTAGGTGTATGAGTGGAACCTGAGGCAGCGAACTCCCTCCTTTTAAGTCTGTTGCGTGCTCCGCCTCGCCTAGATCACCTAGAGTTGTTATTGAGGCATGTGAGTCGAGCAGGTTGGCTGGTAGCTGTGTTGTCTTGCCAGTCGGTGGTGACTCCTAATTATGCGTTCAACAGCAAGACTGATGGCAAGGGCCCCTAGCCCCGCGTGCTCTCGGCTACAGCCACACATAGTACAACGGTGCACACCCACCTGAGGTACTCTCTGCGGCTTAGCTCCTCTGCTAAGCTCTCTTGTTTTGCTGTGAATTTTCCGAACATGGTGGTGTGTAATGTCCAAATTAGCAGCTCACGTAGGCAGCAACTATTCTGAAGACCAGTGGCCGTCAGAAGAATGGTTTGGATATACCAGACTCTCACGTTGTCTGAGTGGAGTTGGTCCTTCAATCAACAGCGCCAGCTACTGAAGCGGCGGCTAGCAACTGTACCCGCATAGTCATCAGCTATGATTGGCCTGAATGGTCGGCAGGTGAGAGATTCGGTCCGTCCCGAAATGTACGCGTATACTGACATAATATCTAAAGATCAAAAATGTCATCAAGCTTGCACACAATGTCGCCATGTCTGAGGGGGTTCCACTGCGTGCGGATCACATTCGGTCGGCCCTTAGAGCCAACAGGTATACTATACCCACTCCTGGCTCCAAGATTGACAACAGTCTCTATGACTACTAGGCACAGCATAAGGGAACATAAAATGGACTTTGCCACTGTTTTAATTTGTCTCCTGTTTTATAATGAATATGTCTTTCTATTCAATATTTCGCACTCTTTAAGGCCAGCCTGAAATACAGTGGTGTAGTTATTAGGACTTAGTCTGAATTGTCACAGGTCAGCTCCTATCAGACCAGGCACAGAGCAGGCACATTGATCAGCCCTGATGTTAGAGACTTTTTCATGGTCGCTGTCTCTAATCATAGAAGTAGCCTTCAGGTAATGGATGATAGTTCCTCATGGACAAGACATTGCAAGCGTGTTGTCGAACCTCAGTAGCGGAGATTGGGTGTCCTTAGAGAAGGCAATATTCAGAGCGTTCCGGGCTACTTCGTAGCAAAGAACCCTTTCGGAAGGCCTCATGGTGGACAGGCCATCCTTGCTCAGATTGTTGATTCGAAGCCCCTCAGTCCCTTCTTTTTACTCCCGATTTTACTAGTACCTGTCTGGTCTCACCCAGACTTGATGACTCATGAGCCTAGCTGATGATGGCGCCAGTGCTTGTATCACGTGGCTTGCTGCCAGTGGTCGCAGCTCTTGCTGAGCTTGATGTCGTGCATCTCACTTGTTTTAACTGAGGGTACCTAGGTTTGGCAACAATACGCCCGACTAGAGAGCTCTCTTCCTGGAGGAAGCATAAGCGCGGGAACAAGACGATCGACATAGAAGGGCTATGCAATCTTTACTGGATCTATCGTGCCTCTCCCACAGCCTTCTCTCGGTCACTGAAAGTCGAAACACCGGCTCTCCGCACCAGGCACAACACTGTCACAAACTGGGAAATATCAGAAGGACAAACGTCCGCAGCACTCTCTTACGCTTTCGTTTACAGAGCACCACATCCTAACGACAAGAAATATATTCCCTTGCGACGTTGGAACAGCTCTATTCTTATCGCTCGCCATTATGAACAATTCAAGTCTGCACGAAGCCATCATCTCTTCGTTTCTAGCGAACCAGCGTCCTCCGACTGTCAGCGAGATTGCCACCCGTTTCGAATGCAGTGAGTTGACAGCGCGGAAGGGTCTACAAGCTTTGGCAGACTACCACGGCGTTGTGCTTCATCCACATTCCGACGAGGTCTGGGTTGCCCACCCGTTTTCAGCAGCACCCACGACCTGTGTTGTTTCCTCGGGCGAGCGGAAATGGTGGGGAAACTGCGCCTGGTGCTCGCTTGGGGTGATGCAGCTCGCTGGCCGCAACGCGACTCTCAAGACAAGGCTTGGTGCTATCGGCGACGAAGTGTCTGTCACCGTCGAGAACGGGGAGCTGGTCGACAAAGATTACGTCATACACTTTCCAATCCGAATGAGTAACGCCTGGGACAACGTCATCTATACCTGCTCGGTCATGTTACTCTTCCGCAACGAAGCTGAGGTGGACGAGTGGTGTTCCACTAGGGGTATCCCTAAAGGAGATGTGCGGCCAATTGAGCAAGTTTGGAATTTTGCTGCCGAATGGTATGGACGCCACGCCGACGCGGACTGGACGAAGTGGTCATTACGCGACGCGGTAGAGATTTTTCGTCGTCATAACCTTACTGGTCCAATTTGGTCGATTGGGGACAACGCAGAGCGCTTTTGAGCGCCAGAGCATGACGAGGACAATTATACTGCCTACACACCGGTATGCTCACGGAAACACGCGTCTTCTGTCCGGCCATCTGTTTGTTTGTGGTCAAGGTGTCTTTGATGATGACTGGTATCACCCGATACAAGGATTGAGTACCTCCGAGAGCAGCCCGATACTCTTTTTGGGCTGGGGTTGGTTTGAAATCGCTTGTTTAATTCCTCGCGAAACGATAAGTCGATAAGTTTCTACGGCAAAAGTTATTTTCTTGGTTGGTGTCTCTAATCATCACTGCAGCCTTCAGCTAACGGAGGATAGAGTTCCTCATGGACAAGGCATTGTGAGCGTGTTGTCGAACCTCAGTAGAGAGGAGCGGAGATCAGGTGTTCCTTAAAGACGACATTCAAAGCGTTTTGTAGTACTTCGTAGCTGAGAATTTCTCGGAAGCCGTCATGGAGGGCCATCCTCATTCAAATTGTGGCTTTGAAGTCCCTAAGTCCCTTTTCTTTCACCCCTAATTCAGCTAGTACCTGTCTGGCCTCACCTCTAGACTTGATGACTCATTAAGCCTAGCCAATGATGGCACTAATGTGTATATCACATGCCTTAACCCCAGAGCTTGTTAATGCTCGATCTTACTATTTTAACTAAAGGTCCGTATGTTTGGCAATAATACACTCAAAACACACTGCTTGTGGGAGGACTGTTAGTTAGACAAGGGGCAACCTACCATGTGGTTTACAGGCAACTATAGCTAGCAGAGCAACATGCATCACAGTTATTTTCTTCCCTAGTTGCGCCAGAAGATATTTGTCGACGGTCTGGTCATCGCTCACTGGGCAGTGAGCAAGTTTAGAGAGTCACAGAGACTTTCCCATTGAAGCCCAAGTCTATCATGTGATTGCTAACCTGGCAGGATGCTGTAGGCCCGGAGAGGTTCAAACAGTCGACGGACTCTGTTCCAACATCCGGAAGTTGATCCGTCGGAAGACCGCCCATGTAATCGCGCCGTTCACATCCCAGCCAGTTCTATATTGACAGAATAGACTAAAATACCGCTATCATCTTCACCATTATCGAGTATAAGCCATTCCCAAGCAAGCTCAATGAAGGACCCGCGTTATAGCGTGGGACCTTGAGTCATATGTTGAATTCCCTGCGTATGTGCTGCTTACTGGCCCTAAGGCCTGCTTAGGAGTTAGATATGGGCCCCTTTACAGAACTTCGAAATCCGGGTGAAATGTTGATATTTGCGTATTCCCTTCAGCATATTTTTTGCATGGCTCACTCTCGGTCACGCTGATGGCCCCAGGCTCTGCTTTGCTTAATTAGCCGCGGAGACACAGGAGAATTGATACACTGGGGTAGAACTGAGGCGCCAATGTGCTGGGATTTTACTACATACGACTGCTCAATACAGTTCACCGGATTCCCATCTACCTAACTATCAGAACTCAGAGGTGGCACCATTCATATGGCCAAGGCCATTTGGCATAGCATTGTGAACCTCAGTCATCATGTCTCTCTGCCATATCTAATAGTTAGCCAATCCATTAAACTATTTGCATATTACTATATTTTCATAAACCAGAGCCACTCCGCACATATTCGGAGGCAGGGGCCCTGATGTGATCAGTTGTGGTCAATATTTGGACATTCCTTGTGCAAAGTCGGGTTGCATGTATAGGCTATGGTGCGGTCTCATCCTGGAGCAGTCTTTGCTGCACTGGCGGAGTCTCACTTTCCTGTTCTGGCGCTGGTTCTGTGGAACCAGCCTCCTGTTCAGGCTTTGATTCAGAAGTAGCGCTTTCACTCTGATCCATAACGGTTATACCACGTCTTCCTTCTTCCTTGGTCCACATTTTGGACAGCTTAGGAGACAGATAAATGACACTTCCATCAGAATCTTGGTTAAGAGATGTGAATATGCGTCCTGTCGAAGTCCAGTTCAAGAATTTAGTCATTCGACGTGGCCCAGATCCCTGCAGGAAGATAGACACAAGAGCGAATGCACAGACGAGCAGGATCATTGCTAGCGTAAGGAACGCTGGGATGCCGTACAGCATATGGAGCCTTACACTTTTGGCGTAAAATATCACTGAAACATCGGGCGCACTTGTCTCGGGTCTTTTTGCACCGTCTCCTCCGGTAGCAGACGTAGCCATACTTCTTGTTCCCAGAACATAATTGGCGGCTATATCCGTCCAGATCAGGTCCAGAGCCTCCGCTGTCCCCGAAAATGTCTGGGAGAGCTTTTGCCATTGAAGCAACAGTGAAATACTCGATGCGCCTGAATAGTCGAAAAATCCCATGCTGTTTGAACCCACGTCAAAAGCCCCCGCGAGGGCACGCCCATAGAAATATACCCCAGGGAGATTCTGGTAATCGGGTGACGTAGTAAAGATATTTGATTTACCGGTACCAGGTAGCCACAGATGCTCCTTGCGAAGAGTTGATAGTCCAAGTTTACTAGCAGCTTCAGGAGAAACCAGGCCCCAGAGCGGACGAACATCTCTCAGTAGGAGGTGGCTGTTTTCAACTCCCCACAGCGGCTTGGAAGAATTGTCAATATACTCTTTTGGTCTGATAGCAGTTACCCTTAGTCCAGATAGATCATCACTCCCGTTAAATCTAAAAGACACAGTCTTTATAGTGGCTTTCACACCAGCTGCACAGGAGTAAAGAGGGATCGACCAATTGGAGCCAGGATCATTGAACATAATTGGATCGCCTGGTGTCTGGCGCTGTGGAACGCCGTAAACCAATCCACAGTTAACGTGGATGTTGCTTATGTTCGCATAGTCAAGGCTAGTCGTTCTGCTACATAGATCGGCTGTTGGTGGACGAGATCCGGTCAGTCTTGGCAATGGCGTGCATTTGGAAGGGTCAACGACTTACTGGCAGCTGTGAAGTTGAAAGATTCAATATGGAAGGGGTTCTGGTACAGTGCCGGCTTGTAGCGTGTAAAATTTCCGATATTAGAGTTGCTGGAGTTTACTCCATCAACTGCCATGTCCGTTCCGTCCAGGTAAGATCCATACGGTACAGACCGTAGACTAGGGTGACTGATGATCGCGGTACCAAATCCTGTTTCACCCCGGGATAAGGAAAATCTCTTTCCCTGGTGAGAATCCAGATATCTAAACGCTCTTTCCCCAGACCCATTATAGTTACGGGGATTGGTCACATTCATAAAAATCATCGACACGAAATTATTCACCCATGCCGCGGTGAATGCCCGTTGTAAAAGCTCTGAATCATCCTGACTGTGAGTAGTTGTCCAGTTCAAAGGAGAAAATTCCGTTGGAAAATTGGAGAAGCCCCCTCGGTCAGTGAGTACAATATCCGTATAGCCCTCACGAGACTTAGCAACCTGATACTCGATGGTGAGATTTACGTCTACGCACTGCGTCTCCGGTTCGACGAACAACAGGTCTTCGGACCACTCGCTCCCCAAGGGTCGCCACGGTGGTGCTGTATGGTTGCGGAAGCCGATCCCTCCGGCTTGCAGATCGATCACCAATCCTTCCACCAGATGGTAACTACGATCCGTGATATGTGACTGGATCGGCCGTAATTGACTGAGCGAGTATCCTGTGCCGTTGTCCAGGGGGTTACTGATGTCAATCGTTTGTGAGGTCGTCGTATACCGCGACTGGATATCGAAAATGCTCGAGACCGATGCCTTCATAGTGGAAAGGCCACTCTGAAAAGATTCCATCAAATGCACAGGAATACTGGTATCGTAACGATCCACATCGACAAATTCCCCAGAGGCATTTTTATACCAGGTGGTGTTTCCCGGGGATCCTGGGCAGATCATAGGACCAAAACCTCCGCAGATGCGACTAAACCGGATATCCGCATTTCGCGGTGGTGTATTCTTCCCAAAGACCGACCTGTCCTCGAGATAGTGAAACTGCGCTGATATCGGCTCCTGGGCAACAATGTCTTGATACAACCCCAAGGGCGTGACTATAGCAGCAAGTGCTGTCAGGATTTTGGCGCCAGTCCTCGACCATGATACCACCGACACTGCGTAGCCTCCCGATGCCGAAGAATCTGTCCTCAGGATTGTTGGCCAATATGAAGAATGAAGCTCTCTTGCCAAGGCAGACCTACAACCAGATGTTAGTGTTTATCCGCCCCTAGCTCAATTGGTAGGTTCCGCCAATGCTGACCAAGTGCTAGCAGAAAAAGTAGGTTGCGAGGATTTCAAAAATCCAAGTAGAATAACAGGCAATGCAACTGGAATCAAGACCTGGACTTGTCTCGAATGTTGGTTCTTCGCGACCCATCCTTCGGTAGAGGTCTGAGAAGCTTACCGACTGCAATACCGACAGCGATCATACCAGACACGTCTGAGACAGTTAGGTCTGTCAAAGTGGCCGCCATCTCCAAAGCGACCCCTTGGGGAACACTTGATTTTTTGAATACGACCAAATCCTTCAAAAAATGAAAGCTGCTAGGATAAGATGCATTGTCTTTTAAATAAAGGAAAAGGAGGGCTTCGCCTGACTTTTCTACTATTTTTAGGCTGCATCTTCACTGTCCACGGAATACTACCATTTGAATGAGTATTATCAGATGAGGCCAATGAGAAACAGTCAAGCCTCGAGGTCCGTGTTATAGTCGGGTGGGTTTTGTCTGGGCACAGGGTGAGAAGTTCAGCTCAGTCCCTATGAGGTGAAGAGACACTAACTACATATCGCTAGCGTCTCGTATTCCTCCCACCTTTCCAGTGGTTGTTTCCTAAATTTGCGTATTTAGTGGAGTGTCGCATGTGTCTAGACGTAGCTAGTTATGAGGTGGACTGACATCAGGCATCAACATCTTGCAGGAAAAGGGCCAAAGATACTTGTGCCTGTTAGGCAGCCCCATGACAGATACTAGTCGCAATTTTCACATTTTGTGGTTAGAACGGTGAGTGCGCAATAGACAGTGTGTGGAACTGAGTGACAGCCGGGTGAGAGTACTCTTGTGAGCACGACCACCTCTCAGCTGAGCTCAGATACAGCGTTATTGTTCATCTCAATCTGCCTAAAACCGCGGTCCCTTGGCGCCTGCGCCCTTGAATATTAACCAAGGATTGGTCAGATCGAGGACGAGGCTGACTTTCTTGGGCTAATGTTACGGCGACCTATTTATACAAAAGGAACTTTTGGATTTTTACTGTTTGCCGCAAGTATTACCTATTGCCACTACCTCCACTCAACATTAGAAGTATAGAGATATTAAGTACCATATAGTAGGAATATCAAATCGAATTGAATGATATCGAATCCTCATATAGTAGGGATATCAAATGTAATAGTATCAATATCAAATCCTCATATGGTAAGGATAACGAATCAAATTGAATGATATCGAATCCTCATATAGTAAGGATATCGAATCGAATTGAATGATATTGGATTCTTATATAGTAGGGATATAAATCCTTATATACTAAGTTAGTAGTGCCCTATGTAGTTAGAATATATATTAAAGACTTAAGGGGTAGCCCACCACTTATACTACATATTCAACATATAAGTATAGTGATATTTAATATCCTACCTTCGCAAACGTTTTTGACAGGAGATGCACCCTGCGGAGACTGAGCTGCAGAGTGACTCGAATGTATGGATGACTAGGATCATTCTAAGATTCCAAAAATATGCCAGGTCTGTGAGATGTCTGGTCATTATCTGGGTGCTTTGTTCCAATTCGTTCAAGGATTTCCCTAATCAGGCAGCGTTTGCCAAGGGAATCAGATGGCCGCTGCGGCACCATCAAGCGCCCATGCATAATACAAAATGGCTCATCTACCAATGCAAATTGCGAAATCCCCTTTTTTATAGCCTTACCAACAAGGAATAACACAAAATTAAAGATAGAGATAGAAATTAATCAATTTAAGCCCAAACTGGTCCTAATCGTTTGGGCGGTTGGTACCACAAGCTGGTTCTCACCGAGCAAGGCGACCCCAGATATTGAACCGACTGGAGTCACTGCGACGGAATCTTCTAGGAGAACTATGGCCTGCACACACCGTGGCCACTATATGTTCCTGCATTATTCCGGCCAACCTTGATCTATCAGCCATTCATTTCAGGGATGGAGACTGGTCGTTACCTCTTCTGAAAGGGTGGCCTCGAAAGAAAATCGTGGTCATGACCTCTTCTGAAAAGTGTGGCCTTGAAAGAGAAAATCGTGGTCCCAGGCGCTGATATAATGCAGCCTCCATCTCTTTACGCACATTAGAATTTGCTCATCCCTCACCATAATATTTAAACCCCTCATTTGAATAGATGAACGCGAAGAACCATGCTGGATACTAAAATAGACAGGACACATTCAAAACTGCAAGAGAGCTCGAAGCCAAACAGGAAGTTAATTCGCCAGAAGTGAGACTGTCGCAAAGCCGGCTTAATGAAAAAAGCCTTCGAGTATAGCAAGATGTGCGGCGCTGATGTTTGTCTAGGTATACGCATAAGAGATACCGGTGGCGTCTATATGTTTTCAGCGGATGCTTTGGGATTTTGGGGATTTGTTGGATCCTAGTTGGTATCACACCCCCGATTTGCATATCACTTCAATTGCTGATTTGCTTAGGGTTCGTATTATCCAACCCCAAGTCAGATCACTGACAAGGACATTGGCAAGTTGGGAGATCGAGAGCTATCTTCCGCTCAATAGAGGCGGAACCGGAACAACCTGGATTTGCACAAGATGCTCTGTGGGACTTTCCATCCAGCCAGCCAACCCACTTGTGATTTCGAAGAAATGGCCGCTTCATCTGCCTGGATCCTTTTTCTATCTACAAAGAGAGATGACAAAAACCGGCTTATAATTGGAGACCCAAAGCTAGACAGCGGAGTAGGCCCAGCAGTACTCCTCCTGTGTCCATAATAATATAATGAACTCCCACAGCTTATCATTTATGGCTTTCTGCCTCCTGTCCGTGTTTGCACGGAAGAGAGTCGTAACAAATTCCTTGAAAACATCCAGCTCATCAAAATCGTCGAGCGGACCGGTTCAATCCTTCCATGTTGCTTGACAGTAAACTCCCTTTCCCTAGGACATGCATAAACAGGATGTCTGCTGCCGTCCCCAGCTGGGCCTTGATACCAGTAACCAAACAATACGCCCCGTTCACAATAATGGAGTTGGGGAACGCTTGGGAGGGAGATTCTGGGTATTGTGATTGAGTGGCGCTAGGAGAACCACTTGACAGTTCAATTGCCTGAATAGGGGCGTCAGGATCCGGTGGCATGTTGATTATGGTTGGTCTTTCCCCTGGCTTTCTTCTTGGATTTGCCTTTCCTTTTGACATCTGGGATCTAGGACGTCGGTTAGCATATCTGACTTAGAGAACTGAGGCAATGTATCCCTAGTGTTTTTCTACGGCTTCCTTTTTGGCTATCTCTTATGGTGAAGTGTGTTCAGGAAAGGGACAGACTCTACCTTTATGCATCCGGTAGCCTGGCTATTCACTTAGCTATCTTCCAACTTCGCTGCACCCATAGGTCATTGTCGGTAACATCACAGCTATGATTTAATCTTGCTTACTAAGCTGAACCTGTTCTTCTCTTTAGCAGCTGCTGCAGTTTGCGTTATATTCACTGATGATGGTTAGAGTGTTTCCTGACCATTGGCTGCTGGGTGATGGCTAGGGGCTATAGGGGGCTAGTAAGAGTAAGGTATGCTTCATTAATGTACCATGAGTGGTGAAAGCTGGCTTTGCCCAGCTTATTTGTGGAATCAGTGGACGCCTTGCCCTTGGATACTTGGACCTCGCTGTCTCTAATAAGGCTAACAGCAGCTGTATCCTACCTCCGCGGCCATTGAGAACCAACCGTTTGAGTTGTCTATGAAGCTGAAGTATGATTTAGCTGGGGTATCTGCCTTGGACATGGGCTGTCTGACGTGCCAGGACCACTAGAAGCATTGAAGGCCAACCAAGAATGTATGCTGGTTATGCATGCACTTGTTGTTCTGTCGCAGCCACCTGTATGTGCATAAAATTAGAACTCTTGCGGTTCTAGATGGCAATCTACCTAACGCTGAAGTTACTCACATTCAACTGTTCTTCGGGGTCTTACTATCGGTGTCAGGTGGACGTTCTAGACTTGGTTATGGTAAGGCGCTTGAAGCATATCAGGCATGAAGAAGACTTAAAAGGGTGTCTTGTCCCCTTCCTGCTGGACTCCTCTCCTGTTTCTGCGACCTACCCTTTCCTAATGTTTAATAATGATTTGCTCTTATACTAAGATGAGACAGGCCGTGCTGTATTGAGGTATTACTTTTGGTTATCAAACAGAACTGTGCTGCTGCTAACATCTGTTTCCAGTTGCTGGACTTGAAGGCTCAGAGGATAACCCAATCCTTATTGATCTTGACAATGTCTCTCTGTCTGAAGAAGAGACTGAGATATGCACTTCTCTAGAAAACTTTAATGGCTCTCTTGAGAACCCCATCTGGATCTTAGATGAGGCTACTGTTTGTGAGAGTCCGGAAAGTTAAATGGAGGACAATGCTGCTGTATGATGTCCAGACAGCTTGCTTCTTGACCCTGTTGGCACTCCTAAGGGGAACATGGAAGATCCCCAGTCAGAAAGTGAGTGTGTTGTTGGCATGGAGTGTTCTCTTGTCTAAATGCAGGCCGCAATCATGACTATATTTGACTCTCCTGAGCTTGCTGTCTATTATTTAGACGAGAGTAGACTCTGCGAGAGCCCTGAGAGTGACTGGCAGGGCGTAATTCCCGCTGGTTCCCCACGCATCTTGGCTGTGAATTCTATTTGCATTCCTGAGGGAAGTGTGGAGGTTGAGCCATAAAGGGACTGTGACATTGCCATGGACAGGGCTCTGCCTTAAATGGAGAGCGCTGCAAGGGCCGCATCTGGCTCTTCTGACCTTCTTATTTGAGACCCAAAAGTCCCGGCTCTAGTTGATGGTATGTACAGCGCTTTCCTGACTTGCTGCTGTTTACTGATATGTCAAAGTGAGTGTGCAAACAGAGACCTCTGTACGGGAAGAGAGAAGATATGTAAATGGTATGCCTTATAATTAAAGACACAAGACCTTTGGCTGATTTATTTGTAGCAAGCACATAAACTCCTCCTTGTGGCATGGTGGCGCAGAGTGCAAATGGTACATTGAAAGCTGGTAATAACCCCTGAAAGAGGAAACATGACAGCGCCATTCCGGTATCTGTTCCAGTAAGGAGGTCCTTAAGAGTAAGGGCGAATAGACAGGCATGATGTGGACAGGTTTGCGAATTATTTAGTTAAGCATGGTGTTTTCAGTCTTTCCGTTCCTAAGCTTTGTTTCCTGCGCAGTTCCCTTACTTTGGATGTTTGTGATCTAATCCCGGTAGCCAGCTAAACTGCTCTACATAACGTATCCAGACGTGATCATAAGCAACGGAAGACAGCGCCAAAGGGTTTTCCGCGTTAGGTAGATAAATTGGCTTGCCATGGAGTAGCGCTAATGACGACAAACAGATTGCTTACTGACGTAGACGACTCGGCGGGTTGGCCGAGACGCTGGAAGAAGACAGGTTCCCACCAGCTTGTTGGTTGGCATGCTGGGCAAGCCTACGTCCTAAGCTGATGAATGCAAGCCGTAAGGGCTAAAACTCTCAGACTAGGTCAAATTGGTTAGGAGACTTTGCTCAGGTACCAATGTTTGACGCTCATGCCCCGTGTGTTGACAGGACCTGGGCGTGCGGGCCTAGATCTGGAGAATGCTCGGATCAGTATGGCTGTATCTCAGCACTGCTCAGGCGCCTATATATCCCAGGCACACAAGTTTATAGCTGGCTGATCTGTAGGCTACCTTTCACATCTCACGCATATGCTTAGGCCCCGCATATCTTAGGAAGTGACGGTGAACTGCCTAAGTTCTTCTCTTCAACTGCTACTATGCATCTTACTCTCTTCAGTGCCTTGTGGGTTTGATGATCCTCCCAGAGGAAGTATGGGACATGGGAGTTATACTAAAGGTAGGTGTTCAGACTGGCAGAGACCCAGATTTTGCCATGGAGATCGGGAGCTTAATTGTTGCCTTCTAATATTACCAACTTCAATTATTAATCTGGTCATGGCTGGCAGAAAATGCAAGCTTCACTGGAAGAATCATTGAAACAGGGACACAGTTTGGTCAGGTGGATATCATACACTTGACTGACCCTATTTGTATTAACTGCCCCAGCGATGCCCGCGATCTCTACAGTTCTTCGATACGGACGTCCTCTTCCTCAGCCAAACGTTAGCTTAGTCGCTGTGAACCTTCTTTGGCTCATCATACGCACACTTGGATGTTGAAATAGAAAGGCCGCTCTAAAGGAAGTTAGAGGAAATTCACGTTGTGAATAGAAAGCCGCTTGAAGACTGTCCATTTACGCGCCAGACATGGCCACGCTTTTGCATGGGCCTCAGGATGGCGGCCTATCAGCGATTGCATCATGGACCTATGATAATTATAGCAGCCGTCGCACAAGCTCTTCGGTGCGCTCTTGGTGGTTTGTTTGCTTCCAGACTATTCAAACCATTTATGGCGTGCCAACGCGACCAAATCGACATTGACATCAAGTGAATAGTGCAAGTGTGCGCATCAAGTCTGCCCTGCTGGTTTAACTGCGTTATTTTTGAATTAATGTCCTGAGGAGCAGCCTCTGCCTGCGTCATCATGGCCATTCGCTCCGAGTTATTGATTATAGCATGCGCAATCATATGCAGATATCGAGTTGCTTCCCTATACGCTACCAGGAACACTGGGAGGTACACCAGACTGTACTTTCAGTGTCATTACTGGCAGAGACGCCTGGAGGAACAATAGAAGGTGTTGCTCCAACAGCCAAGCCAACAGGAACACGGGGTGGTACACCAGACTGCAGCTCTAGAGCCATTACTGGCAGAGACACCTGGAGGAACACCAGAAGGTGTAGCTCCAACGGTCATGCCGCAAGGGACACTGGGAGGTATACCAGGCTGTGTAGCTCCAGAGCTATTACTGGCAATATCTCCAGGTGGCCAGAGGCGGTGGTTCCTCAGCATTTGTGCCCCCAGCTATCGCCTATGATCTCGCTGGTGGTGTGACTAAAGCGGTAGACACAGACAGCAGGATTGGGACCGGATGGCCCAACTCCGGAAGCTGTATCAGCAGAGGCCACATGCGGCGCGACACTTTCGGAAGACATTCTTATAGGCTGTGATCGGACAAATAGAAGTTGCTCTCCTAAAACAGACAATCTAAGGTTAGAGATTATGGACCAGACCAGCAGTCAGAGGGAATTTGGGATGACCTTACGTGGAGGAAAGGCATTATCAGACTCTTAAATATACGTCCTGCGCGATACTGAGAGCTATATTTACATGGCTTGCGCTGAAAATTCCATGGTCAACAGCAAATATGGCCCCTGAAATCCGTGGCGTCACAGAACTGCGGTCGTGTCGTTGCCTTGAATCCAAGGGGCGGTGAGAAACTACCCCCCAAGCGCCCAGTGCTACAGTCGCGGTTAGACACTAGTCCCCTATTGGAACGAGCTTCCTCAAAGAACCGAGCCCAGAAAATCGTACCCTTCAGTTTGGACGGAAGAGATACCTAAAGTTCGGCTCTCTACCTATGACGGCTGTACCTCAACATGACCTCGGAGGGCGTCTCCGATGTTCGTTCTCACGTGACTCAGGCAGAGAATCGGCTTCCGCAACAGAGGCCAAGGTTGGTACAAGTCGACCACTACCAAGGGCAGTCAGTGCGCTGACACAGCTGCTATTGTTGGTATTGTTGGCGCTGCAGGCTGCTGATGTAGCAGCGCGGCTTGCCTTATTTGACATGATTAACGCGGCCATTTGGTCTCTCGTAAAAAATAGCATGGTTCGGCTGTAGTCTTCCAGAGACATTGTGCAATTTGAGCTGGCGATCGGAGGAACATGAACTAGCATTATTCGGTGATAGTCGGCCAGCGATGCTGCGCGATTTAAGCTGGCGGTAGCAGAGAGATCTGACGTTGATTTCTGAACATCCATCATTTTCGATGGATAACAGACGTCGTTAGTGCAGGACTGTAGAACAACCAGACCAGAAAGCAAAGTTAGATGGAGGAGTCCTGGAGACTTTGATGGTTTCTTCCAGACAAGTTTGGCTCGCCAAGGAACCTACCAAGTGACCTCACGCCGCAGTTCTAGCTCTGTCTGTTGTGCAACATCAGGGTCGTGTCCTTACTGGCCTTGCCAATCGGGGTCAACTAGGAGGTGATACGATGAGACAGTCTAGCTTGGCAAGATATTGGGTGGGAGGGGCCAGCTGATGAAGCAATGAAACTGGCTTGAAAGTTAAGTCACGTGAGCTATCCATGCTAGTTGACTCTTGGCAAGCTGGCTTGTGGATGGCTTTGGCGGTGTTAAGGATGGGGGCGCAAACTCCTCTTCTTAAATAGATTTCCCCAGATGTTTGCAGAACATCGTACTCGCCAGCATGGCTCTGCAAAGTCAGTGACTAGAAGATAGTTCTTTACTAGCTAATAGCTACGAAACGAAGGGCCTCGCATCATTAACCACACCTTTAGAGCAGATTTTCATCCTTACACCAGTACCTACCATTGTCCTTGATTCTTCTCTCTGTATATGCGAGGTGTCCAATAGTCACCTTTCCCTTACATAGTTGAGCAGGGGGGATATTATTAGTTACAGCATATTTGATGTTCCACTGCCCACAATACCTGTCTCCAGCCTTCCTGTTCTTCTTGGAGCTGTACGGATCGCTGTCACTATGAAGACTGTGCAGGTAATCATCCAATAGTTGGGTAGCCTGTCCTTAAGATTGATACCTATTTTCAGGGCATCCAGTTTTACATACCTCATCATTGAAATCATGCGCTAATACGCAGAAAATGCCTCCAACATTAACAGACTTCATGACAAGAGCTTTGTTGGCTCGGTAGCTACTATTTCAGGGGTACACCTGGGGAACGATGATAAAGTGTATGTATCCGGGAGGAAGGCAGAACAAAGTTCATCTTAACAATGTGTAATGTGCCTTGGCCTAACCATAAGGCTCATATGCTCTTTTCCCTAGTAATTAACAGCCCCGATCACATTTCGTGACGCCCTTAATGTCATGGAAGAGTACTATTTAGAGGACGGTAAGCGTCACCTACCAGAACTAATTGTATTAGCTGATCATTGCTATAGTGGCTTCCCCTGATGCCTTTGACCCTGAGATGGTGCAGAGAGAACAAGACGCGATCTGGTCCGTGATGAGATATTAGCTTCTCTGGAGAATGAATGGGGAAATTAAGGCAAGCACACCAGCTAGGATGGAGAACTACATTATCAGTCTCACAACCAAATTGGCATGGTAACATCCATAAAACAGACAAATAGTGATCGAACACAGATTTTGGAAGGCCCCCCGACCAATTAGACCTTATCAGTCTGAAGTGCTGAGTCCAGCATACCTGGTCCTACATTAAAAAGACCTACGACCTTTGCCCTCCGTACTAGTTCCCCCGACAATCAAGGCGTTAAGAGCGCAAGTCTATGCTCTTCCTCAACTGAGGATTCCAGATAGATCTCTAGAGAAGGCTCCAAACCTTCCTAAGCATGTGCCTAGCCACATCCATCCTAATAGAGAGCTCTTTGCTATCTTAATTCCACTGTTAACCTTATCCGCCGACGGAGCGTCCCACACGCTTGCATCCCCCTTGGTATGGAGAAAACAAGTGAATAAAGTAATTTCTTTCATCAATATTCCGTTTTGCCATGCCCAGCTGGAACCAGGAGGTTGGGTTTTAGTCAAAATGTTGCATGGCATTCTGTTCTGAATAGCTCTAAATGGTGGGCCTTACCACTTCAGGAATACCCACCCACTCCGCCCTTGAGCATGATCCCAGCTGACTGGGACATTAGCCATAGAATCTAGAAACACTTCGTGATGTCATATGTAGAAAGTGATGCAAGTGTGGGATGTTGTATCAATGCTGTATCTGGTACAGGTGAAGGTTAGTTAGGAGACAGAAGAAAAAAGGAGGCCGGTGATGGGAGACATCTTGTAGCATAGCACTGGACTTTACAGCATCCGGGGATACTGAAAGGCGGGCGAGCCCTGCTTCCTAGCTGTCGCGACCCAATCCAGATAAGTCGAATGAGCTGGAGGGGTGCAACGTGTTGATCAATCAATCAATCAAGCTTCTCGTCCATAGCGTAGGCTCACCATAGCGTAGGCTATATGATGCTCCTTTGATAGCGTAGACTCACGCATGGCGTAGGCTCATCCATAGCGTACAACTATAAATACAAGTAAGTCGCTCCTGTCAGAGTTACTCCCTCCTTCTGCTCCCAGCAGTCGCACCTTTCTGATAAGTTCTGAGAGTCTTTCTGTTTGTGTGACTTGTCAGGCCTTTTCTGGCCCTCCTCTGCTTCTGTCTACTAATTTTCACTCATCAAGGATCATCATATGGCCTACGCTATGGATGCGCCATACGTTATAAATGGCCTACGCTATCAAAAGATCATCATATAGCCTACGCTATGGGTGAACCTACGCTATGGGTGAACCTACGCTATGGGTGAGCCTAAGCTATGGATGGCCTAAGCTATGGATGGCCTACGCTATCAAAAGATCATCATATAGCCTACGCTATGGGTGAGCCTAAGCTATGGATGGCCTACGCTATCAAAAGATCATCATATAGCCTACGCTATAGGTGAATCTACGCTATGGATGAGCCTAAGCTATGGATGACCTACGCTATCAAAAGATCATCATATGGGTGAGCCTACACTATGAGCGGGCCCCGTTTTTGCCTACGCTATCCTTGAGCTTACGCTGTGAAGGGCTGTCGATTAGCCTACGCATAGATTATACAATGGACTCAAGCATAGGGTAGGCTGATGCTCAGGTTCTGCTAATTGCAGTTATCTAGGCTCAATGCACAGCATAAGCTATGAAATATATAGCATCTTTATATTATGCGCACATAGCCAGTTGCACGATGAGAAATTCTCTCAGTGTATGGATAATAAGCGAGGGCCCATATCAGGATCTAAACCCTGTCAGCACGTAACACTCCTAACAGACGGCAAGATTCATTCGAAGGGACCTCTTTCCAACGACTTGGAGAGAGACGTAGACGGTTATCCCTGGTACTCGAACATAGGTTGTAGCTATTACGCCAAGTACCAAGATCAATGTCGACGCGGATATTTTTCCTATTTAGGATATCCACAGCCATTGAATCCAAGGCACTGCAGAGTTCAAGTCCATCAGGGTAGACGTTGATAGCAAAGGTAGCCAAAGCGTGTATGTCAACCTCATTAATGTTTTTATTGTTCCTAGCCACGAAGGGTCAATTTGAAGTAAGCACAAGCAACATCATTCAGACACTTACATAAATCTATCCATTTCCGCACTGGATGATAGCACAACATAATATCCTAGGTATTGCGCCAAAGTGCACCACCATCTACCCTAATCAACATTCTTTTTGAGTCATTCCCGGCGCTTCTGCTGCAAAGAAGGCCTAGTTTCCCAATCAGAATAGTAAAATTTAAGGAGGAAATTCAGGGCCTTAGTACACTTGTCTCTCCCCCTCCCTAACCCTGGAAGGCTATCAGTCTGTAAATAGTCATAGTAATAGAACAGGCGCATAAGTGATAATCAATGCTGAACAAGATTAGTATATAAGTCTGTTTCCATCTCAACCCAGTCCATTTCGCAAAGAAATTAATGCACGAGCGAGTCATTTCCACTGTATTGGTGACAAGATCGCAGCAACCATGGATTCTGGTATTGCCACAAAAGAACATGATGGTCCATGAATTCGTCAAGGTCGGTTCGTATAATGGCATGACTCATGGATATAATACTATTCAGGCGCCCTGGTTTAAGTACTTTGTTGGAATAGTGGCGAACCATGAGGTCAAGTGCTTGCAATTCCCATTCAACCTCTCTCAATCGGCTGTTGCTAACCAACTGCCCAGTCGCATCCAAGCATACTGAATCATGGTTCTGGGGAGGAGAGCCAGGTGTTCCAGCAGAATGTGCTTGGAGTGAGGAGGTTGGCATATCTGAACCAGAATCATAAGCATCTCCCATAGGTCTGCTTACTCTTTCAGCTGGCACCGCGTCGGGAACAGCGTTCCGAGAGCAAGGACGCGCGACTGGGTAGCTTAGCAGTGTTAGTATTCTATCATCTATATCTGCTAGACCGTCGAATTGGCTAGGAACTGCTATGTCTAGGTAGTCAAAGGCATACATCTCCTCACCTACAGGATTGGTGCAGGGGTTACTCAGAGAAGAGATATTATAGCCCTGATAAGAGTCTACGAGGGGACTGCATAACACTGCTAACACAACCAGCGCATCGGCGGTGTCCTCCAAGCTTGGAATTAAAGTGTCTAGCCATTCTTGGTGTGTCGAAGAGTCCACTGAGATCAACCCTTCAGAGGAAGAGGAACAGGCAGACGGAGATGTCAATCGACGGCAACCAAATGAGGTTATAGCAGTATCGGCCTCACCCTCTAGAATATCCATGGCTAGCAAAATATTTTCGCTTCCGACGCTGGCCTGTCCAGAGCAGTCTCGGATGATGTCATCACCAGCCATCCTCTGAACACTGTTGCTTCCTGAATCAGCGACATCTCTGACCGCAAATGGAAGCACAAGGTCAACAGCCCCTATCACAGGTGTCTGGTAGTTCCCTGAGGGAGACGATGCGGGGTCTCCATTCACTGCCTCTGGTAAGTGCTCTCCAGTGCTGTCGACAGAATGGCCAGGATATTTCAAGTCATGATTATGGTACGCACAGTCGGTGCCATTCTTGGATGCCATATTGAAACAACAACTACTTCCCATAAACCCATCAACTGAGGCCATCTCTGCGCCAAGTTGGGTTGTTAGCTCTCTAGGCTCTGTTCCCCACATCGACTCTGACATAGAAGAACCATAGAGGCTTTTTTGGTTACCTTGGTAGTCGTGACTCTCTGTTGAAGAGCATCGCAAAAAGGATTCGGGGTTAATCGGGAGATCTAGTAAGACAAAACCCAGTGGCTTACAACGTCGTGCAAGTTGGTACAACTCTTCTTTGTCAAGAGTCTGCAGCCGGGAAACAACCTTCTCACATAAGTGGTAGGCCTGAATATCTCAGCGGAGTAGATATCAATTTAGGAGGAAATAAATTTGTATCACCTCATCTACAGCACAGGACCTGTCCTCTACATGGGCCCTAGGCGGCTGCCCGGTGTGCATATTCTGGAAGAACCCATAGAAACAGGCTGATTGCCGCATATTGGATAGCTGAATAAATATGATGTACCCAGGAAAAGCAAAGATAGTTGGAAAAAGCAGAGATACAGTAGCTGTAAGCTTTGGCCTTGCTAAAATGATCTGAAATGACTTTGATAGTGGCATCAATTAAATGGTGAGAAGAAAAGCGCAGAATATGAAGGCGCCGCCTGATAGCAGCCTTAAAAAGCAATCACCTAAGAGGTCACATTTTTACTGTGCCCAAGGCGCAAAAAAAAGTGAGCAAAAATCATCATTCAGTGTGATGTTAGAGCGTTCTTTATATGGGTTCAAAGTGTGAGAAATGGGGAATCAGATCCTGACACTGTCACAGGGCTGCTCTGAAACAAAACTAAAACATACCACAGAGACGGGCCCTTCGTTGATTCATCCATATGATGTCCAAATGGACTTGATATCTGCCAATAATATCCTAAAGAATTAGTATTTCAGACCTGATGCAAATGAATTTCAGGTCTACAAGTTTATGTGGCTAATTGGATACGGAAACAGATTTAGCCTAAGTTGAAATACCAGGAGCCCGCCAGAACTGGGCATATAGGGTTCTATTGGTGATCTGTACATGAGATAGTCGGGCCTTGTTAAGATGTGGCCAGGTGGCAATACTGCATGACCCCACGGGTCCTCTTACTGCAAGCATCCGTAGGGCAAGGTCCAGGCGATATGACGTGATTGCCACGCCATTTTCCGTGCGCTTTCCACAGCTCAATTAATGCTGTGTTAATGTTCATAAGTCTATGTTTTCAACCCCACTTGTATTGGGAATTGACCAGCCCAGCAAGCGGTTGCTTCCCATCTCCTGCTCGATACTGAGAGCTATATTTACATGGCTTGCACTGAAAATTCTATGGTTAAAACGGCAAATATGGCTTCTGAAATCCGTGGCGTCACAGAACTGCGGTAGTTGCCTTGAATCCAAAGGGCGGTGAGAAACTACCTCAGCGCCCAGTTGCTACAGTCGCGGTAAGATCTAGCCCCCTTCGCTTTCCGCAGCCACATTCCCATGATTGGCCTTGACGAGCCCTGAGGCGCTAACGTCTGCCCATTGAGGGGCATGCCTCAGCGCACCCTCGGTCGCACTACTGCGTAAAGCATGCTAACAAGGGCGCCTGCCAACCATTTCAGCAGCCACAAGTAATCAGAGCTCTCTCATTGCCATGCTGAGTATGAGACAGCTGTTCCAGAACGTATTCATCTCGAAGAGTCGTTTCACGCAATTAGATACCACTTATCTGGCATTTTCTCACGACAGGAACCTCACGTGCCTGATTCCGTCGTAAGAGGATTCTCACAAGAAGCCACTCCCCTTATTGTATGCCTTCTAAACCAATCTCTCCGTGACAGATACCTTCATATAAGGCCACACCCATGAACATCTAGTAAAGAGTGGCTTTATGTGGCATACCATATTAAGTTTGAGATGTTCCATAAGTCAACATAAGAAATGCCTTTCCGGTGGCCAGCTGCTCTGAGATATTCCGCTCATGGCGTTATAACTCATGCCTGTTCAAGCCTCTAAGTTGAGCCATATACTCATAAATTTCCCTTGAATAGCATAGAACAACCGTAATTTCTAGGGCTGAGGCTTGGAGCCTGGATCCCTCCAGTGTCGAAGGGACTAGGTCGAGGTGCTAGTGAAGAAAGCCCAGATTCTGACGAGCCGGGCAGTAAGACAGAATGCGTAGGCGTAGTGATATATGACCAGCAACACTAGACTCGGCGCTCCTGACCTGCATGATCGAAAGACCGTGGTCGTACGACCAGCACGGGCAGAGGACCGCCAACTGACGCCCACAGCAGGTGCCAGACCCCGATGGTCCTCTTACTACGTTGCTGTCGCCCCATTGTTTACAGACCAGCTGATTTTATTTGAAGTAGCTTTATAAAATGCCAACGCCAATGGCTTGCCCATCATTTTCCAATATTCTCGGTCAGTCTGTTTCGCCGATTGCGGTACCACCGCAGCGCCAAGCTTCTTCGGCTACTGCAACCACTCCCCCCACCCAATAGTGAGTTCGCGTTCGACCTCGAACCTCGGAAGGGATATCTAGGGAAGGCTTTAGGCCTTACTGGTCGTATGCCCTGGGCAGCGCGCGCCCTAGCAGTTACTGCGCTGAAGATATAAACCATCTGGCGTGGCTCCCCATTAAAACCTCGCGCTAAGATGGTATACTTGAATGCCATATTCTTTGTTCAGGTAGCACTATATAAATTGTTCTTAGAGTCTTATAGGGGGAGACTTTCTCTTGCAATAGCAATACCGTGCGGACATGTGTATCCAGCTGGAGTCAATGCTCCCTGCGGAGTGAGAACCCCGCGTGGAACAGAAGCTACGTGCGGACCTGTGTATCCAGCTGGAGTCAATCCTCTTTCCGGAGATACTTGTTCATTGGGAGGAGAGGCTTCACATAGGTGCTCGCCTCCAGATAATCGGGCCCGTTTGACATGGGTGCCACACCATTTTCGGCGCGCCATTTGCAGACGACTTTATCGGCGTTAGTAGGCCTTCAACCCCACCTTTATCACCCGTGCAACCCTTTCCATTTCTTTTCTGAAGAGGCTTGAAGCTTGGCTAACAAAATTACAACACTATCACAACACAAGAGAGCAGCGGCAGCCATCTGAATCCGCCTCGTGCCAGACTACAACACAGAACAAAAGAGCAGGTGAACCAGAGTGGTCACCCACAGGGCTCGATTTGATCACTCTGCGCACCCACCCCTGAAGATCATCTCTACTTTTGTAACTTAATAATATGGAAGGAGGCTTGGCAGGTCGAACATCCGAAAAGGGAATAGTATACTCCGTTAATGACGCGCTGGGTGTTTCAGGTGCTGCTTCCATCATTTAAACAAAATGTCCCACTTAACTCAAAGCATTCTGCCATTTCTAACTCTGACTCTCTCATGATAAAGGAGACGATAAACCAATAGTGGTTGGGAAACAAAAAGAGCTGGAAAGGACAGTCGGTTAATAGACTCAGACTAAAGCAAACACTCTCGCCGCCGAGGCGAGGTACGTGCGAGGACTTGGAGCTTGGTGGACATGGCAGGTTCAGCAAAAGAACTGAGCAAAGCAAACGAGTTAAAATCTGCTGCCTGGGATTATGTCTAATTTGATGCCATTGTATCAACAATCTCCAATATCACCGTGCACGTGACTGTCTCCTTGCTCTGACGTAATTTGAGGATGTCAATAGTTCCAGTCACAAACGAAGGTTCAGTCAACGGTAGAGAGATTGAGTTAAGCTCATCTTGATCCCGATCACCCCTGATCACCCGCCGATCACCCGCTCACCCCAGATCACCTGCAGGCAGTCGCCACCTATCCTAAATGAGATATAGAATTATTTTGAAATGCACTTCTGTGTTTCAGATGTGTTTTGCGTCTGCTTTCTTGAACTTTGATCGCGCGGGGAAGGTGAGCATAGGAATATATAAAGGCCTGAACCGTCAAATTCTGTGCCTGAAGTCATTGCTCTCATTCTATCCTGTTATCTGTTACTGTCGCTGAAAACTCCTGAGGATGGCAAAGCCTAGAAAAATCCGTCATCGCCAGTCTAATAAGCTAAAGGCAAAATATCAACAACACAAACAATGAGGAGATACCTTGTTCCGGAAGGCTTTTGAATTCTGCCAGGAGTGTAATGCAGACGTCTCACTCATGGTTTGGTTGAAAGAGAATAGTCAGATTTACATATTCAACTCGGATAGCAGATGGCTCCCTTTGCAGGAAGGCTTGGTAGGGCTTCTCCCTATTTCCCTACTTCTTTTTTTTCTCTTTTATTTTTCCTTTGGCTTTTCCTTTTATTTTTCCTTTTGTTTCCTCTTTTTCTTTCTGTTTCCTTTTGTTTTTCTTTCTTTTACCTTTTACCCACTCCCCTCTTTTTCCCTTTCCTTTTGCTTTTGCTGAATTTCAGGGTTATACTAATGGCTGCAAGTCTTTGCACTATCCTGTACCTTTAAGGATAACGTGGCAAGAGTTGGCCGCTGCCTATCAAGCCTGAACACAATCTATTGAGTGTAATGGAAGAGCTCACTACAAGATGTATCTATGTTTATTGGCTTTGGTTGCTGAGATATCGCAAACTAGGAAGACTATATAGTACCTTCCTACGATATTCTGGGTCGGTCTGAGATGCTATCTTGTTGACATTCGTAGGCCGGGGGAAACTTATATTTACCGATTTATGTAGCCTTGAAAACCGACAATGATCGCTGTCAGCAGTCACGTTTGGACAGCAGTCACGTTTGGACAGCAGTCACGTTTGGACAGCAGTCCTGATTTGACAGCAGTCACATTTGGACAGCGGTCACGCTTAGACAGCAGTCACATTTGGACAGCAGTCACGTTTAGACAGCAGTCACATTTGGACAGCAGTCACGTTTAGACAGCGGTCACGCTTGGACAGCAGTCACATTTGGACAGCGGTCACGCTTGGACAGCAGTCATGTTTGGACAGCAGTCACGTTTGGACAGCAGTCACATTTGGACAGCAGTCATGTTTGGACAGCAGTCCTGATTTGACAGCAGTCACGTTTGGACAGCGGTCACGTTTGGACAGCAGTCATGTTTGGACAGCAGTCACGTTTGGACAGCAGTCACGTTTGGACAGCAGTCACATTTGGACAGCAGTCACGTTTGGACAGCAGTCCTGATTTGACACCAGTCCTGATTTGACAGCAGTCACGTGTTGAAACCCACCTGCCCTTTTCTTTTCTTTAAAAGAGAAATAATTTTAAGGAGAAAGGAAAAGTCCTGAAAGAAAGTGGGCGATGGCTTTGACCCTGAAAGACTGGGACCAATGAGTCACTCACTGTAAGCCATGTTGGTCGTTCTTGAGGTTCGAGTGTGTCAACCAATATTTTATTTCGGGTCTTGCTTTTTTGTTGAGGGGCATCAAGACCTTCCTTCCCAGCTCTGGCCCGTGATTTGATGAATCCAATTGTTTGCAACAGCGGTTGAACAAATTTCAAAATCGTCCAGCCTTTGAGAGAAAAAGAAAAGGTCAAAAAAAAAGCATGGCGTTTTGTTGAAGCCCCAGAATGATGTTCAGGCGGAATGCGGGGTCAGATGAACGGTCGTTTGGCCAGCAACAATAGCAGGTGTTTACGACTCGGGATTTCCCCTGCACGACATAACCCGCGCCAAATTATTTTTTAATTTTCTACTTTCTTTTTAATTATTTATTCTCAATTAATTAATCGATTATTTTATTTTATATTTTTATATTTTATTTATTTATTTATTTATTTATCTATTTTAATATTTCTCATTTCATTTCATTTTATTTATTTATTTATTTATTTTATTAAATGAAGATTTTTCCCTCTGGTGCCTGCGTCCGTTCAACAACGCTCAACGACATTGTACAAAGCCAGAGTGTCCAGAAACTCAACTTCCTACATTATAGTTCTAGGGTTCCCAGGCAATCGGTGCATTTCTTCTATGGCGGGCGGTCGATACATTGTAGAGTCCTCGATCGGTAAACAGAACAGGAAAATACTATGGGATAATTGCATGGTTTCGGATCTACTATAGACAAGACGCGCATGGTGTTGGCTCATTATTCTCCATTCAAAACACCGGACCTGGGGAACGCCAGTGACTGCGCACCCGATGTTCATCAATCGCGTGGCGATGGAATGCCATTTTATGCAACAAGGTCACTTTGCATTAGTTGCACTTGAGCAGCTCTTCCTTCAGATGAATGGCATCAAAGTGGTGCGTGAAACAGCTGGCATCATGAAACATCCGGCAGCGAACTTTATCAGGTAGCATCTCATTCGCGAAGCATTGAAAGCAGGCCTCTGGCAGTTCCGAGTTCTCCAAGGAGGGATAAACTTCAGTGTTTGAGTCGATTGAAGGAGGTTATGTTAATGGTCATTTCCTGGACCTTTCAGACAACTCCATTACATATCTAATCTCATTGGAAGACGAGTGGGTGAGGCCCAATAGAGCCCACCGTAATCGTTTAAAATGATGCGAGAAGCAGCTGAAATAGTGAATTGGAAAGAGGCGGTCACGTGGTCTTAATGTCAATACTTCCCACCTTCATCAAACGTTCGCTTTGTATCCAGTAAAACCCCTTCACAGCAACAAGCTAGTCAGAAATGCTGCTCGAAGATGATGAGCGGTCGACGGAGTCTGCTAATGAGCTGGCTTTCTCTGACGTGGCATTACAATTCTCGTTCCCCTAGGCAGCAGCATGCAGTGGGAGCTGAGGGATACCATACGTTATCAACCCTAGCAGGTGCGCGCTACTACATATAGGTCCCTTGTTGATGAAAACCATGCTATAGTTGATGGTTGATCATATCCATGGTTCTATCCCTACTCTTCATCAAAGTTCTCTCGGGTCTGATGCCGGAAAGCACACATTCTATAGGGCATACAGAACCATGACGCAGAGGAAGACACGAATCTACTGTAGTCTGCGAGCAATAAATTGTTCCAGCTCAGCCAGACAACCGTATCCACTGAGAGGAGAAGAGCACGGTGGGACATCCTCCACATGTTGGTAAAGTGCAGAAAGCTTTGAGAACTTCGTTTCGCAACTGGGGCATCTGTAGAGCTGCCCTCCGTCCTCAGGATCATCATTCATATACTTCCGACTCTGGTAACAAGCGTGGGCTATATCGTCAATTTCCTCCTCGGTAGTATCCGACGCGCAACTACCAGACTCCAGATGGATTAACATTCCAGAAAAGGATTTAAATTTTTGGTAACAACCGTAGCATTCCAGATTTCGAGGTCGATGTCTCTGCTGATGCTGAAGAAACGATACTGTCAGCCACAGATATATTGAACTACCAAACTCTAGCCGGTGAACTACCATTTGCAAATTATTCTTGTTCTCAAAATAGTCACCGCATTTGACGCAAAGGTGGTGCCGGTTGACTTCATGTTCTTGTAGTTGCTCAACAGAACCATAGTAGACGTTGCACTCCGGACAAAAATGATGAGTGTCCACTAAGTGGTCTTGAAGCTCTTCGCCGGTAGCAAAGTCTATTAGTCAAGGACAGGTCGAACAAACATTATGTCTGCTGGACGTTCGAAGATGCGTATTTTTTGCTTGTGTCGAAACGAAGACCCGGAAACACCGTTCACACCATTGGTGTCGTGATGTCTGCCTGCAATGAGCGTAAAGAGCAGATTCAGAGCAGAAAAGTCGGTCACAGATAGTACATTCGTAGTTCATACCATCATAGGCAAGATACGGGCCCAACCCCATACTGACTCAGTTGACTCAAGTTGCAGATAACAAAATAAGAGACAAGAAGTCGATGTTGCAGGTCGCTGAATAGCACAAAGGAGATGGAGGGGTTGGTGGATGTATGGAGGGATGCGAAGAGAGTAAATAATGATCGGCATCTCGGAACCTGAATGGATGTCGGCGCGAGCCAAAGTAGACTGCGTCGGTTCTATAATGGGAGGCGAAAGCTTTTCGTCAAATAATCTCTTTCGGTTCGCCGCTGGGTTGTGCAGACCGACCATACAGATCAAGACGTTTACCGCCGTTGTTCACATAAATCACGCGAAGTCCATGCCAGTATGAGTATCATTTGAGCATAAATGTAATCAGTTAGGAGTAGGATTGAAGCCCAGCAGATAATCGCACAGTTGTTCTGGTGTGATCGATGGCTTCGGTAACTGCACATTGATGTTTTCTGCTTTAGACAGTGGCTTAAAACGCTCACAAGCTGTGCCCGCCCGTAAGCAAGTTTGAAATACTAACACGTCGCCATCTCTAAATAGTGATATTTTATTTTTGATGACGTTGCCCGCTGATGATTGGCCAGCGAGTAGGACCAATCAAACATAGGTTCACAAGTCCGGCGCCTAGAGAGGACATAATGGTGGCCGCCGTCGTTCTTAGGAAAGTATATCAAATAGGCGCTCATTTCCGTGGATACGAGGCGTTTAAACATGCAACTCGAGGATCTCACTGCGGTTCTCTTTGGCCGAAAGCAACTGAACACAGCAGTTATGTGGTATAGCAGTCAAACGAGCCGCAGCAGGCCCACCCACATAAGAACGTTGACATCCAAGTCATCCTTTGTGGTTTGCTTTATTTCCATTCCGTACCCCCTGATTCTTTCCTGATATCAAGTTATCGCACAGGGTTGCATTTTGTCGGAAAGGCCTTCTTGCACCGATGTCTACATTTTCTATCACACTGGACGTTGAGAGACATGAGACGTCGCGGACTACTACAGAAGAAGACCGATCAGCTGGCACACGCTGGCTAAATTGGTGCAGTGGAGGGTGGAAAAAGATCTCCTCTGCCCTCCGCCTCATGCTGCGGCCAGTGGCCTTTGAGAAAAGTGGAAGTGCGGGATTTGTTTTGGGTTAGCTAATCCTAACCCTCCTACAGAGACAACTCTGCTAATATTCTGCTGAAAATCCCCCAGATGTCCACAAGCGAGCAGCACAGTGCTGTTTCCTTTGTCTCCAGAGTCGGAACGGGTCGTATGCCGTTCAAGTCCCTTGCATCCGACCGAAGGAACCACGAGTAATCAAGAGGATCGTGGCAAAAATCCCCCGACCCGATGGTGGCAAGGTATATGAAAAGCTCAGTGACAAAGAAAAAGCGTTCGAAAGCGACGCTGCTATATGGGCTAGGATGAAGGAGGTGTACTACGCTGACAAGGGCAAGTGGAAAGCGTGGCTCCCATTCTATGGGCCTACATCTGTGCGAGAGGTCGAGGTCAGAATGACTTGCACCTATTTCCGGGAATAAGGAGCTGATACGGAGGTCTGAAGTTTCAATTCGTTGGTACTGAAGAGCAAAACGGGCGGTTCAAGATATTCGATGTGAAGCCCGTCGATGTTGAGAGGCTTCGTCAGGAAGCAGATGATATAATTGCGTCGGCGCCAGGCGAAGTCGACTTTGATTACGGTAACGGATGCATGGGCTCTTCCCATAGTACGAAATGTGACAAGTCAATCGAATATGACCGACCGTGTATTTTGCAAATGGCAAACGAGGCCCGCCAACGGAAAAGGAAATTGGACATGCTTCACCTGCTAAAGGACTGTATCCGGGATCCATTGACCGCCAATGGACTGAGAACATTAGACGGCATGGCACAAGACAGTTGCATCTATGAGTTGGAGTACGTCACACCGTGCTTCGACGACCGTGACTCTAACCTTAGCTACCCAGACGAGAAGACCGCATTACCATTCCGCAACGCGACCGTCCGTACGACCGAACAGATAAGCTAAGAGGGATCGAGTTGACAATGGGCTGGCAGCTTGATCGCGTTGCTTCTGAAGTTCCGCTATACACTGCTTGGATTTGGCTCAGCGTGGTAATAATCTGGTTGTGCGTAGGAGCGTGGGCGGGAGCAGCAAGTGACTGGGCAACGGCGATGGCGTTTGGGCAGCTGCTAGCTGCGTCTGTGTCCCTTATTGTATTCTCTGCACGAGAATAGAGATAACGTTGAGGAGCTACACGGAGCTGGCCGCATAACCTAAAAGGTATGACCCAAGAATGGAATTGTGCATGGCGAAAGTGTGTCAATTTTCTTTGATCATTCTTCCACCGCTCATTTGCATCATCGGTTCACTACGAAATCCAGAAGAACTTCGATAGATATTGACCATACCTTGGCTCCGTTTCAAAGGGTTGAACGAACTAGAATTAAACTGCGGAAATGCGTCAGGCACTGCGGCGCTAAACTTTCTTCGGCTTCCGCAGCCAAGCTCCCACCCAATAGAAAAAGTCAGCCCTACGAGTCTCTTGTCTGTTGAGGAGAAAAACCTATACCTCTTCCGGCAGAACACCTTGATACAATGCAGCGAGACGTCAGAAACCTCCAACCGAGTGACGTGAAAACGGGAAGCGGCCCTCAGCCTGGACTAGCTGTTATTTAATGGAGATTGCATTTTCTAATGTAGACTTCCGTTATTACATCAGCATGTCACACTGCATTTACGTTTGGGGCCCTCTTGGGGAACAGAAAGTCTGGTCCCGCTGTTGGTATGATCTATTTTTGCTGCCCGGGATGGTTTGTTCCATTTGTATATCTTGCAGCAAGTTCTTGCCAGGTTATGGTCTTCGGTCTTGGATACTGGAAGAACTGATGAATTATTAGGAGCTGTCTTTCCTTTTTTCATAGCATACCTACCATATCTTCGTGCATCAGAGGCCAGCGGCTATCCGAGTTGAACATATATATTTGACCATTATGCTTCAGCCGGATCATTAGAAAGATGTCCGCATCGCATTCACAGCAGTACTCAAACGCCTTCCTGAACAGACCGTCTCTTCGTCGGATTCGCTGTTGGCATTTTGCTCGCGGTGTGTTCAGCTTCCGCTTCCTAATAGTCCTGTTCTTTGACGCCATTGACTGAATTTTCCCTGAGACCAGAGGATGTGAGGGAAGAGAGAAGAGCCATGCGGAGTATGGCTGTCCTCGTGTCTTTAAGTGATGAGCTCAGCTTCACTTCATCACCACCTGGTGATGAGGGCTCACCTCCTGGTGATGAGAGCTGTGCCGTCTGCGTTAAATCACGTGATAATATTCAAACCCCTTGAGGATTTACCGCCTCAGGAGAATTACCGCTATACCCCTTCCAGCTTACGCACGGTCTAGCTCAATTTATATGGTCTTGGCATCATCCGCTATGTCAGCACAGCAGTGATGGGCGTCACCCCTCCTGATGAGGAGGGCTGGTGACGAGGCCTCAAGCCCGGTAATGACCGTGACCATTCAACAATAATGACTAGTCGGCGAAATGACAGCTCATTGCTGTTACCTCCGTCAGTTTCAGACTTGCTCGAACCAAAGAACCTGGAAGTATCCAATCATGTGAATCGCAGTTGATTCCAACTCCTCTTCATTGCTCAACGCAACTGTACTGAGACGACGCTTAGTGAACTTCCCTCCTCAGCAGTCTTCCATCCTCAGTCGACTGCCCCCATACTCGTCTCCCCCATACTCGTCTCCCCCGATACTCGTCTGCCCCCCATATTCGTCTGCCCCCATACTCGTCTCCCCCGATACTCGTCTGCCCCCATATTCGTCCGCCCCCATATTCGTCTGCCTCCCATACTCGTCTCCCCCGATACTCGTCTGCCCCCTATATTCGTCCGCCCCCATACTCGTCTGCCGCCCATACTGCTCTGCTCTCCATACTGGTCCGCCCTCCTTAGTACACTTCCCTCGTCAGGAGTCGCCCCTCCTCCGTAGACCTCTCTCCACGGTAGACGCTCCCTCTGGTATGAATGTCGTTGCGTTTTCAAACTTTACGCACGAGGTAGTGCTCGGGGATTTCCCCTGTTCTACAATACGTATCTTCTAACCCCTTGATTTTGGCTTAACTCAAGCTGTAATTGACGTCCGCACAAGTCTGCTAATGAACTATCAGGTAATCGCTGGCGGTGGTGGATAACCATGTTCACACTGAAAGCACCCCTTTCAGATATAACTGTGTGATTGAATACAATCTAGCCTAGCCCTCCATAGCAGTCGGCCCACATTCCAAGAAACAGCGTCGCCAGTGTCAGTGTAGGCTAGCAGTGGTGGGCCGACAATGGACACTGTATAAACTGAACATCTAACTCATAAATTTTAGTGGCTGTCGGAGAGCCTTAGCTAAGTACTGGGAGATTAATCCAGTGCAAGGGATAGTCAACCAGGTTTTGGAGGTCACATTGTTGGGCGTGGGCAGCAAATGCAGATACAAGATGAACTCATATCTCCTTTTATATATGTCCCAATGCTTGCTACTATTGAAAGAAAGTCGCAGCATCCCCATCGGCGTCATTGAATTTGATTGCTTCCAGTACCGGATGGCTCCCTAGGCAGAGCAGCACATCTGCGGATTTAGATGACCTGCAGTGCCGGATTGCTACTAAACAAAGTGACAGTGGTAAAGATGCTTGCATAGATAGAGTGTTACACTCCACACCCAGCCTCTGCAGAGCAGGAAAGTTGCTGAAGGATCCAAACTTTGGGGTCTCATCATATTGCATGAAGTAGTAGTCATGGTCTTGCACGAGGAGTTCTTCTAGGTGACCTTTGTGTCAAAGCAGAGCTTCATATATATCGTGAGCATCGAGGGAAATTTGGCCTATGAAAGTTCCTTGGCTAAGAAGAGGACGAAGGTATCAGAAGCTCACTAGATGTTTGCAGCTCTGGATCATCACACATATAGCTTGTGAACCAAGATCACACCCCTCAAGCAAGATATGCACAATAGGTAGACTGGATGCCTGTAGCTGCAGAGTATATGCGTCGCATGAATGGTTTCTTAGAGATAGCCGAGACAACTGCGGAAAATGTGGTATGATTTCCCATATCCCAGGCCCACAGCCACGTGCTCAAGTAGCTCCACCGCCTCCCTGATCTGCCCGTTGGCTTGATACGCACCGGCGAGTGCGTACTGAGACGCCAGTCGATCAGGGTGTTCTCCGGCAAGGGTCCTCTTCCGTACTGTCACCACCTGTTCGAGTAGCTCCACTGCCTCCCTGATCTGCGCATCATCTTCCACGGACCTATTTAAATCTCCCAGTGAGGGGGCTTCATATACTGATGTCAAACATTTGGGGTTGATGGAGTTAGCGGCATCATTCCCAATAATCGGCCGTATTACGGAGTCTAACTTCCGTATTCGATCCTGAATTAGCGTCTCATGCTGTATTGTTCCCCAGGGTCCGGCTTCCTCCCCGTTACCACATAGAAGTCCATGTAACTATGGACGTCACGATTCTGAATGCTTTTTCGCACATCAACCAGAAAACATTCGATCTCCGGCTTCGACCAACCCAGTGCAAGCAGAGGTTTGTAGGACCATCCGGACAGAGCCTCTAGCCAATTTGTCTCATTCCAAGTGCCGATTGTACGCATGTGCGGATCCTCAGGCCATGGGTTGGTGGGGACTTTAGAGATGCGTTCCTGAACGTCGACGAAGCCGACTTCTTTCATCCAGTGCGCAATACGATGAGCGATGCGAAATTGTCTTGGGGGATCTGTAATCTGGCTTGAGCGCACATTGAGATCGACCCAATCATGCAAAGCATATTCACAAAAGCCATCAGGATTCTCGGGAGGCATGGTACCGTCGTCACATTTGAGCTTAGGGTCGAACTCGTGGCACTCCATATAACCGCTAGGTTTGAGATGCTTGAATGCCTTGCGCAAGACATCCTTGAACGATGGGAACGAACCAATCATATGGCCTGTGTGAATCAAGTCGAAGTGGTCTGCGTCCCATAACCAGTCTTCTTCGGTGGCATCGTCAACGAGAAAGTGAACGTTATTGGGAACCTCAGTCGGTTGAACAGGTGACAGATCAGTACCTATGATTTCGGCCTCAGGGAAGATGGATGCTACAGGAGGAATGGAGAAGTAAGAAACTACCTGGAGTAAGCGACTACGTGGCAGGAGGAAGACGCACCCATTTCTATGGGCCATATGCCAGATCCAGTACCGATATCGAGGATTCGTTTGGGGCTATGTATGGGAGCGAAGAACAGTCGCCCATCGTTGACCAGTTTGACCATATGGTGCTGCATATCTAATCGATCCAATTCCTGCTCATCGTTCGGGTAAATGTACACTGGATTTACATCAGACAACGCCATGAAAAGAGACTGGGACTGGAAACATACAGCCCTCATGGTATTTGTGGTATCGTCTTCCATTCTCCGTGGGATAGTCAGTTACACTCGCAGTCAATGACTGCCTCTTGGCTTCCTCGAGGGATTTGTTCCAGCGATCGACGAGACTGTCACTTCTTCGTATTCCCCCGGAGGAACTTTTTGACTCGTCCAGCGACTGCCTTTTCCTCCGCCGTGCAAGTTCAGCTCCTGCGGCTGCTGGCACTCTAGCTGGCAAGGCTGCCTCCGTAGCGTCACCGCCAATACCTCGTGCGATCTGCTCTCTAGGCGTTGCGGTTGCTGCCTCTTCAGGGTCTTCGTGGTCCACAGGAGCATGCTCTACAGTAGTAAACCCCTCAGCGGCAGCAGACCTTTCGACTGGGGCAGATTCCTCAGGAGATGCCCCTTGGACCAAATCGGACCTGGAAAGTCCACCTACCTTGGCAGACACCAATGGATGATATGCAGGCTGGAGAATTACCATGGTTATGTTGAACAAACAGTTAATTGTGTCGCGTACAGAATGATAGATCATTTGCATTTCGGTCCCATCAACGTCATCGTCATCGGTGTCCGCATCAGACATGGCCTCCTCGGGCGTATCGTCTAAGGCATTCAGCATATCGCTGAGAGCTCGTTGTAAACGAAGTAGGATGCAAATGACCTGCTCGCGAATATGAAAAGCATCATGCAACCGAACCTCCAGAGACGGCAACTGAGCCTCCTTTGCCCAGATCCGGAGCCGACCGAGCTCATCCTGCCAGAGAATTTCCGGTACCTCGTTTTCATATATCGCTAATCGGTCGGATGATATTAGCTGACTCAACTGCTCTACACATGCTTCAAACAATGACGATGTTGAGGAAGTCATTTTATCGATTCATGCTCCCATCGCCTCAGGTCTGTTAATGTACAGAGTAGATTCACTACTTCATCAAGTAATACTGACTAAACATGACCCTTGCTGGTTGCTAGTGCGGGGTAGTTGCAGATATACAGTTGTCAGCAGCCTCAGCCTCAGCCTCACCTCCCATCTTGAAATGGAATTTACTCACTGTCATTATCAAACCCTCATGGCAAAATGGTAACTGGAATTGAAGCCACTGGCCTCGTGCTGGCTCTCCTGCCCTTGCTTGTCAACCAACTTGATAACTATGTGCAGGGTTTGGAGACACTCAAGGGTTTTAGAGCAAAGAGATATCTGAGAGCGCTGGAGAGCTACCGCACTAACTTGGGAACACAAAAAGTTATTTTCTTCAACACCTTGGGTCTCTTATTAGAGGACACTCTGGTAGACGACGGATCTATGATCAGCACATGGATTAGCAATCCACGGGCCGACAGTTGGGTGGGACGGGTTATCCACGAGACACTACAAAAGAGGCTTGGGGAAAGCTTTGAGCCTTTTATGAGGACAACACGGGAATTGTGCGATTTGTTGGAGGACTTATCCAACAAGTTAGGCTTGATAAACCAAGGCACATTCTTGTCGGTTGGTTTCCCGAGTCGAGCGTGTCGAGCCATTATCACTGACCCATGCCTGTACTAGTTGAACTCTCAGCCCGAATCCTTCATAAGGAGTAGTGTCAAAAAGTTCCGCACTATATTCTCAAAAAGCATATATGCCGACCTACTAAGCCGAATTCACATTACAAATAACATTCTGAAAACACTGGTAGAGCAGTCCTTCTAACGCCACAAGAAGGACAACGACAATTGGAGGTTTAGACAGTCACTATCAGTGCAGAAAAACCGTCAAAAATTGGCCCTGAGTCTCTATCGTGCTGTTTTGAATGAAGACTGCTGGAATTGCTCATGCAAAGACCGGCATTCTGTTCATTTTGTCCTCGATGTTTCAGTACCAGACTTTTTTGGTATGCCACACGAGGCGTCAAACCATACATTTCGAATGACGTTTACATCGAAGAGAAGCACTACCCCAGCTGACGCCAGGGACTGCTGGCACGAAGTTGAGGCCGAGTCGATTGAGATATCGGATACAGCCTCAACAGGTCGCACCTGCCCCTGTACCAGCAGAGCACAGGTGATGCCTGGTGATAAGAGTGAACAAAATGAGAAACAAAGCTGTAAAAACAACCATTCCGAGCCGAAGGCTCAAAACTCCTTATGCAGCCAAGGCAAGACCCCAGTATGCACAATATCAGACCTTTGCTCGATGATATGTGCCGTCAAATTTCATGACAAGCACCGAGCACTCCTTGGCTGCATCGCAGACAAGAGATACCGGCACCATATGTACCATGTCCGGAGCATTGCCGATGACCTACAGCCACATTCACAATCCCTTGAGGAACTAATAGCAACCTCGTCAACATTTCCACAGCCTCTACTGCAAGGCCGATACATATTCAGTCGCCGTGATCGACTAATTCTCGCTGTAAAGCTTGCGTGCAGTGTCCTGCAGTTCCATGGCAACTGGCTGCGCAAATATTGGAGAGCAAGGGACATCATGTTCATGAAAGAGAAATTCGACCCGTCGAAGCACCCTTATGTCGTGCGTGACTTTTCAGGGGAGCCGTGTATAGACAAGAGTCAGGAATCATCACCGCTCATACGGAGCGACATTCTCTTCCCCCTGGGGCTGATTCTCGTCGAACTTTCGCTGTGCAGGAACCTTGAATCATTGCGTACATTAGAAGACAACGATACTCTGGAGACAGTGGCAAATTTCAAGACTGCTGCTCGATATCTTCCAGTTGTGGAAATGGAGAGCGGGCTAAGGTACGGCCGGGTGGTAAAATGGTGTCTCTTTGGCCCAGACACGGTAGATACAACCTTGGAAGATGAGATTGGGCAGGAGAAAATAGTTGAAAGTGTAGTTGCCCGGCTGATTGAGAACTTATGGGACTTTTCAGGACCCCAGCTGAGGAAGTCAGAGCTGACTGGGTAATGGGGATTAGTTCATCTCCCAGTGACGCGACGACTTATGCCTCATGATGTACTAGAAGCGAGATGTTCTAAGTTCAGTCTTCCTTTGCCTTTGGGTCGTTCTCTATCGTTTACTACACACTACTAGATCTAAGGAATGAAGCAGCGGACGCATCCAATGAGGCCACGAGATCCGCCCATGCAGAGCCAGCCCTAGGAACAATGCTCAGATGTAGAGTGAAAAAGGAAGCCTAGCTGGTAGAGGAGAGGAAGTGAATATAGACTCATGTAGCTTAGATACCTATTGAGTCGTACAGACTGCACACAATACGGAAGCTCTTCTCGCAAGGCTTTGCAGCGGAGTTCGTGATAATGAAGACTATTTAACTATTTCATCTATGCCTTAGCAGGGGGAAGTAGTAGACAAGAAAATAATGTTTGAGTGCCCTAATGTTCAGGTACGAAGCCGATGTACCTCCTCCGCATGTAAGCGTAGATGCATTTCATGCTGGAGCAATAGATCACAGAAATTGCACTTGCGATCCTGCAGATGGGATGCCTTGAAGTGTCTCTTCACACCATAAACATCAGTGTATTCCTTTAAGCATTGAAAACATGCAGATGGCTTGACCGCTGCCACCTTTTCCTTGATGGTATCAAGTTTCTTCTCCCATGCTGATATAGTTGGCAGCTTAGGTCCCTTTTGCTTCTTAGAAGGTGGATCCACAATCAATTCTTCATCCTCTGATGCAGGATGTTTTAGCCGCCCGCGGAGAGGGCCTCCCTCCTGGAAACCACAATACTATACACCTACCATCATGGCCTTATTGCGCCTCGCCCACTCATCCTCCAATGAGTCTGAAGTGGGCCACGTAAAAAATGACTCAACAAGGAGGATATGCTCCGGTGGCATTGCAAATTCTTGCTGTAACACCTCACAGGCAGGCTTATCATTAACAGCACCACCTGTCAATTGCCTCTCAATATCAATGACCACTTGTTTCCAGCTAAACTCCTAGCGGATCTCTTTCCGTCGTCTCTCCTGGAGATGACGACGCATGTTATAGACATTGCGTTCCTATTATTCCAGCAAGGCCCGCAATGTCGGATCATTGGATTGAGCACAACGGTCCTCCAGTTCAACTTGCCATTATATTGCAGATTGCAACTCCAGATCCTTCTCCACTGACGCTTTTTCCATGTCAGTTAGGTACCGAGGCCGCCTTGTGTCAATCCAACAGCTCATCCATTTTACAGCTCTTAAAAATTCCTTAACTAGATTGAGTCCGCATACAATCTCCTGCATTCCAGCATGCCGGCGCAGTCAATAGTGCTTGATAAAGGTTCTGCTGCTTGCATGCGCCATAATCACGTTACGCTGTGCGTCGCTCACAAATCCTAGACGTGCTAGTCAGTGATCTGTAAGGCTAAATGCAGTTTGATTGGAGAGACTAAGGCCCTTACCACTCTCATTAAGCAATTCTCTGGTCCTGTAATGAAACTGGTGAGAGAACAGAGCATTCAGAAAACCATGTATTTCACTGAGTGACCAAAGCTACGCATCAAGTATGGAGCCATTCATGGGTGTCTCCCACAAGATACAGGGCTTGCCATCAACCACAGCAACCTTGGGGAAAACATAGTAGTTATCCATTACCCTTTTTAGGGGGATTAGCATCTCCTGTCAGCCATCCTCAATGAGCAGCCTCTGAAGGTCCTCCATCAAAGTTAAGTAGCGCGCCTCAAATGTATTTACATAGAATAGTATAATAAAGAGCAATACATGTGGGCTGAAAACAAGCAATATACCATAGACAATCTCTGGTAGTGCGAACGTATTGCTGTCTCATTTATCAGTATTATGAGCAAGCCAGGCACCAGATTGGGTGAAAGCATGACATTAAGGCGGATGTACACCTTGTACATTCCAAGGACACTCTTCACAAACTGGGGTTTAATTTCAATCATCAGCACTGGAGGTCCTCCATGCAGATCCCGCTGGAGACTAATCTGTAAATGCTTGAATTAGAGGTGTAGGATTGCCTGTTTCTGATTGACAGTGAAAAGCCTGATGGTGTTATACAGACATAGAATAATCTGCTAAAACCCCAAATGGAACTGCTTTTCCCAGGTTTAGAGAATCATCTCATTGAATGGTACCATGTCTTCAATATAGACAGGAGTGTTCGCGCGCGGCTGTTTGTCCAACCCACATTTATCAATCAAGTGTCTCATTCCCTGCCCGCAAGGTCAGATGACATGCTAATAGAGACAGGATCCAGGGATCCAGGACAGAGGGAACATATAGTGCGGACCACCACACCTATTTTGTTGCTCATCTCCTGCTTAGTAACTTTGGTGTAGTAGACTCAGAAGTACTTCCAATCTGCTTCGAGGGCGCTAGCTTTCTTATAGCCCTTCAGACGGCGACCATCCAGGTTATATTCCAGCTTAAGACACTAATTCAGGAACCAGTGCATGTCATTCAGGGAGGCTTGCCGCAAGGCATCCTCTGAATCTTCCCACTTCAGATCGGCTGACAGCTCGATTGCTTTGGTCCGACAATACCTGAAAGCAGATGAGTCAGAGATCCGTCCATGAAAGACAACAGTTCAAAGAAACTAGTTGGCACAGATACTAACCAAGCCCAGCGGTCCTTTAGTCGAAGGTTCAGTTTCCAGGTATTATCAGACCTGCCATAATCTTCTGGCACCTTAGAGAGATCCTCATCTATATCATCGGCTGGATCTTTGTAACAGCCCCGGTGCACAAGCTCCACAGCGGATGTATTAGTGACATTCTCAGTTTCTGACGCCCTAATCTCCGCCGAGTCTGCTTGAAGGTGGCTTGAAGCAGGGACCCGCCGTATTTTCCTTTGTTTCGCCTTCTGAGTTAAGGAAGGCAGGTATTCTGGTTCCGTCAGATCTGTCTCTGAGTTGGGTTCGAAGGATCTATCGTCGTCGCTAATTCCAGGAGACATAGTGGATGATTTAGTAGTGGCAGTGCGGGAGCTGGCACTGGTTTCTCTCCGACGACGCATGATCAAATAGATAAGCCGACTGTAGGGAGCAAAGCGACAGGAAGAGCAAGAGGGATTCCAGGATGTGACGACTGGGTTCTTGGTTAAAACAATGGACAACGACAAAGTCAAGCTTTTGGAGATGAGATGCAAGCAAAGAGTGACAAAAAGTGGATGGGGGAGTGCCAGGAACAGCTGGGCTTATTATAGTCATATTATTGAGGTGCTGGCCAGAGGCCAGCTGGTGCGACGCTGAGGGCGCCATTTTCAGCGCCCTCATAAATTGTAGGGAGCAGTGACGGTGAAGCAGAGGATGAGCCTTCCAGGATAATTTCGGATGGAAGCGCCCACGAGGTTGACAGCCTCAGGCAGGAAGCATTACGCTAGATGGTGCGTCGGCAGAGAGTGCGGGAGCGTGGCAGAAGGAAGTTGCTGAGAGACGGCCATTTTCGGCGTCACCTGCTGCCGAAAAAGGCAGCGAAATAGCAAATCGCAATTCTTTAAGAGTAGATTTAGAACTAGAAGATTATGATTACATTAATGCCTATCTGAATACTCTTAGATCTAATCTTATCTGCTTCCCTGCTGAGCTTGAAGCTTCTAGGATAGTAGTCTATATCTAAGCACTGCTAGACTGCAGCTCTAGCCATATATTTATATCAAAATACCTGGCTGATTTGCTACCCTTATTATGGTTCTGCTTTTGGCATATGCTTAACCCTTTATAAGTTTGCTTACTAAATAATGAAGTCATATATATATTATATTAAGTTTAGATCCCTCTTTAGTTAGCCTTGTATCATCCCTCCTTGGGTTCTTGAAATAATAGAGTATGATGTTATTCTGGGTTGAGATTAGCTAAGATATATTAATCCTAATATTAATTAGATTATGGGTTGAATGATAATTAAGGGGTAGGGAATAAAGTGTGTAACTATTAACCCTATTAATCTTTAATACTAAATTAAATCAGGCCTAGAAGTACTTATAAGTCTTATCTCTATAAAATAACTTTAGCATACCCTTTAAAAAGATTAATAAGAAGCCTAGTTATTCATTATTTAAGAGCTTAAAAAGGAAAAGGAAGAGGAAGTATTAGTAGAACTATCTTAGTTAAGGCCTCTTCTCACCTAGTATAAAGATATATTTAGGGAAGAGTTACACCTAGGAATGCCTCTGGCTTGGTTAATATAGCATTATATTAATACTAGAGATTCCCTGCTAATAAATATAAACTCTTATCCTTAGTCATCTAAAAAGTTTTGTGAGATAAAGAAGTAAGTTAAAGAGCTATTAAAGAAAGCTATTATTCACCCTTTAGCTAGCATATGGGGCTTTCCAGTAGTAATTATCCCTAAAGCTAATAAGAAATAGTAAATATATATTAACTACTACTTGCTTAATAAGGTGACTATTAAGAATACCTATCCACTACTGCAAATTTAAGAACTTCTAGATTAAGCAGGTTAAGCTAAGTATCTTTTAAAGCTTAATCTCCTCTCTGGATACTAGTAGCTGCAAATAGGTGAATTATTAATTCTAAAGATAGCTTTTAATATATTATTTAGTAAGTTTGAATTCTTAGCAATACCTTTTAGACTTTATAATGCACCTATAACATTCTAAATAATAATAAATAGCATTATGCAAGATCTTGACTTTGTGGTAGTATACCTTAATGATATCTTAATCTTCTCAGACTTAGATGAGGAATATAAGAAGCATGTTTAATAGGTACTTAACTAACTCTAAGAATATTAACTATATGTAAAGCTCTCTAAGTGTATATTTACTAAGAGAGAACTAGAGTTTTACAGCTATATTATTAGTAATGGATTTGTTTGACTAATGCCTGCAAAGGTGGAAGTTATAAAGATATAGCTAAAATTAATAAATATTTATAAAGTTTAATAGTTCCTAGGACTGGCAACATACTATTACTAATTTATATATAAGTTTATAAGAATTACTACTCCTCTTTACAAACTCCTGAAGGAATTAGATACTTTACTTTATAAAAAGAAGTTTTAACCTATAGTCTAGAATGCTCAATGTTAGTAAGCATTTATAATACTAAAAAATATAATAGTTTGTGCACCTATTCTTAGGATTACTAATCCCTCTCTGCCATATTAGATTAAAACTAATACCTCTGAATGGGCACTTAGTATAGTACTATTATAATAAGATAAAAAGGGACAGTGGCATCCAGTAGTATTTAATAGATATAAACTTAATAATACTAAAAAGAACTACCCTATATATAAGAAGGAACCTCTTATAATTAAAGAAGTACTCTAATAATAGGACTATTATATTAATAATAGCCAACCTATTATAATTATAATAGATTATGAAAGTCTTTAGTACCTTACTAATATGAAGACATACTCAAAATACCTTATATATTAGATTAAAGAATTTTAAGTATATAATCTTATTATCTAATATCACAAGGGAACTAAAGCAGTTGTCTCTAATATAATAAGTTATTAACCTAACTTTGTTAAAGAAGGTCTGGTAAATAGAGCATAAGTGCCTACTTTTAATCTATCTATAATATAATTATAGTAGATAATAGGTGAAGAGCACCTTCACATGCTACTTAACCTCTCTGAATTAGAATGGTATCTATTAATAGTCTTATTCTTAAAAGATGATGATCTAAATATATCTAATAATATTAAAATATTAGCACTAAACTTTTAGCTTAAGATAGAATATATTAACCAACAACCTACTAATCAACTATATTACATGGATGAAGGTATTGAAATGCTATATCTTAAAATTCCCTTTTAAAAAGACTTTATATTATAACTCCATAACTAGTTTAGCTATCTAGCTTATCCAGCCTTGCTTAGAGTAATTCATACCTGTGCCTGGTGGCTAATGATATGAAGGGATATCCAAGATATTACTAGAAGCTATCTAAATTATTAAATAGTAAAGCCTTTTAAGACTAAATCTTAAATATAAAGCTGTATAACACCTAGTAAAAAAGGGCATCTATCCATTTAAGTATTAGGGGATTAATCTTATTAGGCATTTATTAATAACTCTAAATAGTAATTGATGGATTATCACAGCTATTAATTATATAACTAGTTAGGTTGTAGTAAGAGCTGTATCTAACACAAAAGATAGAATATTGGGCTTGTTTTCTTTATAAGGATATCTTTATTAACTATAGAGTGTTTAAAGAACTGCTCTTAGATAATAGAACTAACCTTCTATCTTAAGTTATAGTATTATATCTTAAAATTCTCAAAGCTAAATATTATATGATGACTCTGAATTACCCTAGAATTAATGGCAAAAATGAAAACATAAATAGCTTACTAGGAAAGATATTAATGAAGTATCTTATGGGTAAACTAATATATCTATAGGATGAATACCTATCTCTTGCAGTTTTTGCTATATAAGTGCATGTTCATACCTAGATAAGGCTTTTACTATTTTATCTTCTCTATAGTGTACATCTATTGCTACCTGGTTATCTGCAACATGATTAATTAACTAGTTAAGATATTAAAATATAATTATAATATATTAACCATGCTTAATCCCTAGCTAACGAGAAGTTATTAGCATATATGATTAGATAGAACCTAATTTAAGATAGTAATATAAAGGAATCCCACCTTAAACCTGGTTAATAGGTCCTTATTTAAAATGAATCTCTGCAGAAGTTCTAAAGTAAATAGTTTAGCCTATATTAAATTATTTAATTACACCTACTTAGCATGTATACTATTGTGGAACCTAGCAGACATGTAGTAGAGAACTTTATTAATAGCTAATAATTAGTAGAAGCTAATGTTAGGAATGAACTAGAGAAATTATGGATATCTACTGCACTAATATAATAATTATAGAAGGCAGGATTATTAATCCATATGCTGATTAAAGTATATAAGGTACTTAAAGAGGTTGATAACCCCTTATTCTTATATGATGAGCTTTTGAAAATGACTTAAAAGGATTAGGAATCTGCTAAATGTCTAGGAGTATATTTAAAGTAGGTAGGGGAGGGTGTCTTAATAAAATAACATACTTAATAAATAAGGCTTTAAGAATGTGTTAGTAATTGTAGCGGGCAGGGCCTGCTGGGTGCTCGGGCTGTTCGATCAAATCGTACGGCCCTCGCGAAGTCTCATCCAAACTGGACACCAGCTGCAGGTCACGTGACCTCGTACTAATCAATGTAGTAATCTGCCCGGTCACGTGACTGCGAGGACCATTCGCACACTCCTTTTTATGTTTGGCCGCCGCGGCCCTAGCTAGATTTCTTCCTTAGCGATTTCTTACCGTCCAAACCTAGGTCATAGGTTGAACCGGCTTCTAGCCCGTGACAGTAATATGCTAATAGGGAATAGCTAACCTATATACTATTAAAAGGAGTTAACTCTAGGAAGTGACTAGAGTAAAATTAACTTAACTTCTTTAGATAATGAGCTGAATAGGGGAATAATATATAAATTATTAAGGAGTGATTAATCCTAAAGGGATGCTAGTAGGAAAGATATAGACTTTAATAGACTATTCGCGGTGGTGATTCTAGCTTATTAGGAGTAATTAGAGAAGGATAAGCTGCTTAGTATTATAAGAATATTAAGATAAAGGAATGAATTACCTATTTAACTAAAGCTAATTACTTAAAGATAGCTAAGTATAAAAGAAAACTATAAACTAATACTGGGTAAGAGAGCCACATCTATACTAAACTCTAAGAACTATAAAATAGATCTAACTAAAAAAGCTTCTTTAACTTCATTAGCTTCCTTGATGGGAGCTATGCTTAACCACCTTAGCCTCTACCTCAGTCTTAATAATCACCCTAGTCTAAAAGAACCTGGTTCTAATACACCTTCTCACGCTTATTAACCTCCTCTATATCTTCTTCTTCCTCCACCTCAATGGCTTCCAGAGCATTAATCTAATTCACTATAAGTCTATAACCTTATTAAACTTTACCAGGTCTTGGTAAATGGAATATAGGCACCCTAAGTTCTTAAAATCCTTAGTAGAGATTAGCTAGGTAAGCACTTAACCATCCATGGGATGGCCTTGATGTCTCTGCTTTAAAGGAGTAGTATTAGTTGAAGGGGTTAGATATTTCTTCCCCTTATTAAGAAGGGTGGAAGGGGCCTTAGAAGGAGTATCTTAGGAATAATATTAATAAAATAAGACTATACTAAACTCATCAGCCTAAAAGAACCTATATGGACAAAGATTAATAGACTTATAAGATGAAGTAGGAGTGCTTATCTTTAATATAAAGGGAGGAGGATTGAAAAAAGACTTCTTCTTCTAAGAATGAGTAGTAGGGCCTTCAGACAGAGAAGATATAATAATCTCTAGGGTTGACTTTTTTGCAGACACTTTACCTTTCTTAGAAGGAGTAATTAGCTTCATAGAATGAGATTAAATAGTAGATTCTA